AATGCCGCAGTTTAGTTGAGCACCCGTGTTGAGTATGGTGAAATACTGCGAAGTTAAATTAGTGCTTTGATATAGATAATCTAGTTACATGCAGAAATGTAACATATTTTTAGTTATTCTGAACACCCATGATGTCTATATACTTGTTACAGAATGCTGTTGAGTGGTTTACTTTAAAATATATCTCACGCGCACAAGTGACTTGTATACACATAAGCCTTGAGGCGAATGTTCAGGGGATAAAGACTGTGCAATAATAATGATAATAATAAATAATGATAATAATAATAATGTTAATAATAAATACCATCAACTGACGTGAAACAACTCACTTTGACTCTTAAGATGACTATCAGACAGGTTGTCGAAACGTCAGTCACTGTCAACAACAACAGTCCTATTCAGGACTACGTTCACCCGGACGGTCGAAGTCAACCTACTTTTGAAATGACTCCTGGGTTCAAACCGTTCACAATAAATACTTAATTATCCACTCCCCTCAGGAGGCTTTTCAGGGATAATGAAACAATAATTCAAATAGAACATAACAAGTTTAAGAATCTCAACTGGCAGGAGGCGAACCAGTTGGCTATTTACAAGCGTAGCCGCAGCTAGCGGTCAGGGAGGGACTTGAACTCGGGGCTTCCGGATTACAAGTCCAGGGCCCAGTTGTTCGACGGCCGATTAGCGCTTAACCTAGGGTTAAATTTTAACTCGGGTCTCTTTTTCTTTTCATCAAAAGTATTTTCTCGGACAATTTTCTCTATTCTTTTTAGAGTAGCCAGTCATCAAATTGTTGACAAAAAGAATTAAACTGTATTTGCTTTTTAAGCTTTCATATCAGAATTCAAATTTTGAACTAACCCGGGCTTATCTAAGGGTTATCTTAACCCAGCTTTGGACAACTCGGCCCAGGGGCCCGTTTCTCGAAAGTCCCGGTAACTTTTCGGGCCCGAAATCAAATATTCAAATCGAAATAAAAAGAATAAGAGCGCGGCGCCTGGCAAGCAAACTACTCCATTTTGTTTCTTTAACTGATAGTTTTATCATGTTAGATGCAAAACTATTGAAACCTCTATCTTTAATGGAAACCGAGACAACTTACCGGGCCCGTTAATTATGGGGACTTTCGAGAAACGGGCCCCAGAGCTCTAACCGCTCGGCCACGCTGTGTATACTGACAAGTCAAATTCATGATGAGTGGAATAATTCCCGGAATCTTACAAGAAAGCATTAAATGTCTAATTCTTTTGCTGAGGCAGTATTCTTTTGCAGACACATATTTTCGGAAAATTTAATAGGCTTCTATTTAGATATGAACTTATTTTAAGTTCATTCTTTACTAAGCTCTCCGGTGTTCAGAGCGCAAGTGATGGCTGTTTGTTGGGTAGAGCCATGGTGTCACATTGAGGACTACTTTGAACGGAGGATGACAGAAATGTCAGAGCGAAATGCGTCAGTAGTACCGGTTAAACCTTAAGTGATGAAATAAGAAGGAGTTAAAATTAAAACATATTTACTCAAACCATAACTATTTCAATGGGATCGACAAAGCAAACCGACCTTAACAATCCTGTACGGTTTAGATCTTAACATTAACTTAAATTTAGCTTGCTTTGTAAGCTGACTTTGGCAGAACTTCTTTTAGCAAACACAAAACTGACAAGTTCGTGATATATTCATTTGTTTAAAACTTAAATTAGTTCTCACTTTCCCTTCCAAACTTGAATAACAATCAGCTTTCTCTAACTCATTACAACCTGGGTTGGGCCACGCCCCTTGAGTCAGACACCTTTTGAGTTCTTTTTCCTCAGTTGGGCCCTTTTCAGCTAAATTCATATTAGAGAATCAAACAGTATTGCAACTTTTAAAAGAAATGTGCTAAGCTTTATTAAGGATAACTAGAACATTTATATTTCTATTTGTATATATTTTTCTTATATGTTAATTAGTGGGGGCATCCCTAGTATGGCGCATTGGTGCTTTTGGTTGTCTCCTTCTTCACAACTTTGTTTGTTTTTGTTTTTGTTTTTGTTTTTGTTTGTTAAGTAGTGTTAGCTCATTTCATTTCATTATTTGCTTGTTATGAAGTGGAGTGAATCTGTAATAAAATAAAATAAAAAATAAAATAAAAAAATTTCACTTACTTTTAATTTGGTTAAAGAGGCATTTATAATTTTGCAAATTTTTCCAGGAGTACCTGAATTTAACTAAATTTCGGTTTCTTTTGTTCTATTTTCTGCATATGAATGCTATTGATTTCGCTTAAACCCAATTAAATTTGATCTTTTCAGTATAAATAGATTAAGCACTCTAATCTAGCATAGAAGAAGCACAGAAGAGATTAAACCGATTTCTACCAAAATCTGTTGGTCTACTTCTTCAAAATCTGTACCCCACAGATTTCTGGTGGTTGTAAGCGCGCCGGCAGTCGATCCCGGCTAACAACAATGCCTCTCGCAGCGGGCTATTGATTTTCGGTTGGATAACTCAGTTCTTTGCCACTCGGATCCTGGCCAACAGCTATACCGAACTGGGCTATACCTCTCGCTGCCAACAGTGCATGCCCACAAGATCAACCAAGCCGAAGGTGACTATGTAGGTAAAGCGCCGAATTATGTGCACTTTAAGTGAGTGGAATGGTTAAGGCACAAAGCCAGCAATTTTCAACTTAGGTAAAGACGATTCGTAAAGAAGAGAATTTTATTGTACTGGTATTTTGTGTTTGCTATTTATATTTATTTAGATGCCCATACTTAAGTTAATTTTTGTTCCATTTCATCTTGCATGACTCACAGTCTCAGTGTCACTGTATCAGAGTGCATCACACTGTCATTCCTGCGCGCATGCCGAGCATGGAGAACAATAGGCGTATCAGCCTCTTCGTCACGGAACTGTACCTCAGGAACAGGGTCTCTGATCACCATGTGTCTGCGTCCAGTCGCCCGGCTGGTCCTTCGGTTGTCACACGGGACGTTCATGATCCAGTTTCCGAGTCTGCTTATAAATGCTTCGGTTTTGCCCTGCGGCACAAGGAATTTGACGATTTCAGCTTATTTGTGTTGGCACTTAGCAGCTCGTTCCATGACTTCACAGTATAGTGCATCGCAATAAATCCCTAAATTGTTCACTGTCAGTGGTAGACATTATTTTCAGTATTTTGACATTTTTGATCAACACCTCGCGCTACACTTCAACCACTACGTCTACACGCCTGCTGCCCGAAGTTAGTTACTCTAAGCGACCACATGAAACATAGCTCCAGAGGAGATCTACAACTTCTGTAGCCTGCCGTTTCATCGAAACTGCCGGTTATGTTCTCGACTTGCCGGAACTGTCCCTGCACAAGCGCCATCCAAGCACAAGAGGAAGTACTAGATCCTTGTTGCGAACCTTATGCACAGCCTTCACCTTAGCTTTCTTCACTGGATCAAAGAAAGCGTGGGATTGGATGAGCAACGGCTCATTGCAAAGTCATTCGCTGGCTGCTTTCTGTTGCCGTGGAGGGTAGTCAGTCATCACTCACTTCTGTGTAGACAAACTTAGCGAGTTGCAAAACTTAGTTTGGCCTTTACATTGATTTTGATGAGAAGTGCGGGGAATTCACCTTCAGCTAAAACCTCTGAAACTGATTCTGGTCATGGACGCCTGACTGGATCATGTTGTCCACTAAGAAACTGTTTTCAAGAAGATACTCTATTCAATTTACACTTGCAAAGTAAAAATATGATTTATTTACTTACTCTTTTCTGAAACAATTTTCTTAACCTTACATTTTTTCTAGTTATTAAACTGAAATTGCGAACTGCCGGTCTTATTGATGAGTGCACCTTAATTTTTAGGGAGTCATTATAACTCCAAAAACCGAGTAAAAATTTTAGACACAGGAAAACCCCTTTTTTGGGGTTATTTAAACTCATAATTTAACTCCGACTTTGGGGTCATTTTCACGCCTGAAAAAGAGTTCTTTTTACTCCCAGTCTGGGGTTAAAATAATTCCGAAATGGGGTTACTTTTACTCCTTACATGGGTTGTTTTTACTCTTTTGGGGGTTAATTTAACTCTGAAAGTGGAGTAAAAATTTTAGGTACAGGATAACTCCTTTTTTGGGGTTATTTTAACTCCTCAATATCTGGGGTCACTTTTACTCCTGAAAAAGAGTTCTTTAAACTCCTTTTTGGAGTTAAAATAACTCCCCCCAAAATAACTCCACTGTAAGCAGTTAAATTAGCCCCACTAGAGGAGTTATTATAACTCCTTGAAAATTACTGTGTGACCAATAACGGGTGATGTTGATTCCCATAGGACGTCAGGTAGTTATGATTTAAGCACGAGAATAAACAGAAGTCATGTTTTTAGTTCATATATGTTTTAAATCTAGGCTAAAACAAGATTTTTTTACGTTAAAAGAATACAAGCAACTTTTCAGCCTTCCCCGAAATTCAAGATGACGGCCAAAAGGAGATTTTGAGGGGCAAATTTACATTTCGATTTTCAAAGTGAAAGCTACCGTTTTTTCCTTGCTATCATGCATTTTTGCGTTGCTTAATAGTCAAAGATTAATATGTGGCATGTTGCGGCTGTTCCCCTCGAGCGAGCGCCATAAACCCAAATTTTCGGCTCTCAGCTGATGGACTTTTGAGCAGCGTTTTTGCGCGCTTTTTTCGAAGGAAAAAGGAGACTGGGTCCCAGTTCACTCGTTTGAGTTTTGCGCCGGCGGGCTGGAGAAAATTTTGAATCTGTCGAAGCTGTTCACATTCGGACGTGAATCGGAAACACGTAACGTGGTTTTATGCTGCATTTCTTGGACGGATTAATGGACGTAATGCGAAAATGTCGAGGAATAGACATACATTTACTCGTACTATAATTTAGCTTCACGTGGTAGAGTCTTACGGACTGTGGTCACCATTTCCCGAGACGTGCATCGATCGATTTCTTGACCGAATGTTCAGAAGACACGGTCGAGAAGTGTCCCGTGCGTTTTCATTTCGGTGGCTATGAACGCGGACAGAGCTGGCAGAATACCGCCACCTACAAAAAGGCTTGTAGTACGGAAAGCAAACAGTCACCGAGATTTACGTCCACTTACAGAACGGGTAAGCTTAATTGAAAATTTAAACTTCGGTTGTGTTGACTGCTCGCTCTTGCGAACATTTCGTTCCACTGTTGTTGTTGTTTGCGGTTTGTCTTGTTGGGGATTAAAAGAAAGCATGGCTTTCTTACGGTAATTGTAAGTCACCAGTTCTGTTTACCTTTTATCTTTAGGCAACTCTAGAGAAAGTTTTAGGCCTGACTGTATCTAAAAATGCGGCCTTGGCCTGTGATCCGGTGTCTGGAGTCATCGCTTATCCGGCTGGGTAGGTATCGAGTACCTGACGAGTGTTATTGCCGTGAATTCTCTTTTGTCTGTTTGTTGCTTCATACGAATGGCACGGGGTGGGAATAATTTAACTGAGTTTATTTTAGCGATGATTTTGCTTGCTGGCTTATTGTGGTTGATGCAGTAAACGTCGAAATACTTCTGAATTTAAAATTTGTTAACGAAGTACGTGATATTCGCACACTCACACAACCTACTTACAACCGGTATTAGGTCTATGAAAAAGCTTAGCTCGTGTACTAGAAAGTAGATTTCAAAACATCAAATACCATGATTTACTCTAGAAGCCAAAATATTCTCGCAAAGTCTTAAGATGTTCAATTTTAATCGAATAGTCGCTCAAGATTCGGAGCTTTTCCCATCCTGTATGAGTGTGTAATAATGCAATTTCACGTCTTTTGAGAAGATTGTTATCGATATTCTTGGAGATGATTTTCTCGTAAAAAACATGTAGTGTCGATATACGAAGTCATTTCTAGTATTACTTGGTTTGTTTTTGTTGAACTGGGATGCAGAATAAAGCGAGAAGTTGGTCATACACATTTATAATTCATATGTGATCTCGAACGCGCTACCCGTCTTTTGCGCGGAACAAATGTCCAGATTTGTAATAGAGTTTGAAAATTATTAGTACGCTGTTTAAATTGATCCATATTGCTGCAATATATAGTGATTGGAGTCTCTTGTTATTTCGTGTACTCATAACGGAAGAAGTTAACACTTGTTAACTGAATGTTTTTTTTTCGAAGGATTTTTTTAGCTTGAATGTGCGTTGTTGCAAAACTTTATTTCCTGCATGTTAGTTAATACATTGAATACCTCACTTCAAGATAATTTTAAACAATCGCTAAGTCTTGTGTGAAAAAGAATCTGTTTCAATGGTCGCGGCAAGGGTCATCTGCGTAGTTATTGTGGTTTCAAAAAAATTTGGCATTGTTCAATCGTATTTGCTATTTGCCATTGTGTTCATTCGTAACCCAGTATTACTAATTTGACCTGTTCTGCATAATCCTTGTAACTTGATTTACAAGAACTTTAATATTTCCGATCTTTTGTCCAGCAGTTGTTGTGACTAGCAGCTGACAGCTTTTTTAACGAGATCGATAAGTTGTCTTATCGTAAAAGTTGAGTGCTATTTGCATTTGTTTTGCAAGTAGAGAGGTCAATTGGAATCATCGATCACATGCGAAGAAACAAGGAATACATTATATCTGGACAAAACGAAATTAACTCAATCAATTAATAAAATGTCTATTTTAAAAAATGAATCCCTTGGGGACTTTGGAGTTTAGTCTTTGGAATTAAGTTGTCCCCCATTATGACAGTTTCATGGTCTTTATATTTGCTTTTAAAATTATATTTCTTTTGTATCCAGTCGACCATTATGAATTATTAATTACGTAAAGCTGAGCTAATATCAGTATCAGTAACAATAAACACAGTAGACTCAAGAATTTTTTAACTACTTACTTAATGAGAAACACAGCAGTTAAAAGTGAACACTCACTGAAAATTCTCAGTCTTGCCTTATTTAATAATGACAACTAATGCATTTGTATTTAATTATTTATTTTGTGCAGTAGAAGTTATATTAGATCTATGAGTTTTGGACAGATCGCAATATAATATAATACAGGAAAATCGTGCATTCTTGGCCCTTGACGGAGAAAATATAGAAATATTGACACAAATGTGTTTCTTCTGCATTGAGATGTTGGTGTGTCACAGTTGTTATCCTTTAGGGATACATCTGGTGCAATTCAGTTAGTACCTTTTAAACTACAATTAAGGGTATGGTAATTGATAAGGTAATAAAATCATTCAATCACACAGTGAGGCAGCTGGCTCTTTTAGACGAGGGAACTTGTTTAAAGCCTGCATTGATTTTCAGAAAATGTTCCATTTGTATTTTGGCTTAAAATATTATCTTTAATACTCTTGAATGAATGCAAAAGTCAGACTGCCATGTACAAAAATGCATTAAATGATTGTGTAGCTTAGACGTCTTAGTTAAAACAGACTTTTCTTTTAATAGATAGCCCTCTTTGTTCGAAGACTAACATTAATGGGACTGCCTTTCCAAGTACTTATGTGGGAATACCGCCATGCTTTTCGTACCAAGTTACTTCAGAATTTAATTTGTTTTTATTTTTGTTTGCCCGTAAAGAGTCATTGCTTTTAAGATTTTCTTACCTCTGTTTTTAATCGGAATTATTTTTTTGAGATTAAAAACTTTGACTTGTAAGACAAGGGGTAAGTTTCTTCTGGAAATCAAACATGATATTTTTCCATTTAAAACAAAATTAATTCTGTCAGCACTGGTTGAAAACATTGACAAGGTACTGAAAGTTAGACTAGCCTCCCTATTTAGGCCATCATGGGGAGTATCCCCAGGCTCTTCAGAAAGACATTGTACCATCAAAATAACTTTCTTTGCATATTTACCCTATCGTGTTTTTGTGTGCTTGAAGAGGCATGTCTGCTGAGTGAGAAACACCTTAAACTTTGGCTGTCTGAGTCCTATCCTTGTTGTTACATAGTCTTCTTGGAGTAAAAATTTTGCACCACTTTGGCCTTCTTCAGCCAGGCTGTGTATAAATTGAGTGTACATGCTTCATATGGTGCTACAGAAACTGGTTTAAAGTATTGTTAAGTGTGTACCTTTACCTTCAGTTAAATATAAAAATACCTGTGGTGACTGCTCACTAAATCTAAATACCATGGAAAGGAAATAGAAGAAACAAGAAAAATGCAGTGATATTAGTATAGGTAATAGTGTGATTTGTAGTGATATTTGGCATAAACATGTTTTGAAAATTATTGTTTTATGTAACGGCTCGTGAAACTTGAGACAATTTTGAAATATCACAAGTTGTATTTATGCCAAATATGCCATACAAATCATGCTATTGCTTGTTTATACTACTACCTGCAACAGTTTGTAATTTTCACATGAAGGTATTTCAAGTTAAGCTGAAATATCTCTTTTCTAAGCCAAACAAAATGTAGAAATTTCTCATGTAGTAGTGTAAACTCTCTTATGCCTTTGTATTTTACAGTTGTGTGGTGGTTTTGTTCAACCCAAGAAAAAATAAGCAGAGTTTTGTTCTCAATACTTCAAGGTAAGGGCGTCTGTTATAGTTAATGTTATAAAGAGATATGCTTTATTGCCATGCAATATACATGCACATGGTGATTTAAGTGCATAAATGTTTGGTTTTAAAGTGTTTGTGCAAAATTGCTGCATATAACTACATGTATTGTTTAAGTTAATACTTAAAATGTCAATTCTTTCGACCAGGAAAACAATTACATGCCTTGCATTTTCTGGTGATGGCAAATACTTGGCAACAGGCGAAGTAAGTCTGCTCAATAAAATTTACGTTACTTAACTATTAGTTGAATCAAAAGTGATGTTATTTGGTCGTTTGTTACAAAGTCTAACTTAGGCTGCTGTTTAAGAAATTATTTGACCTCCAGATGTCTTTCTTAGTGGGTTGATTTAAGAAAATAAGTGCTTTTCCAGTCTACACTATATGCTTTATTTAAATTGTTCATGATAAATGGTGTTAAGATAAAAGCATTGGGCAAACTGAAAATGGCTTAGAATGCGGAAGTTTTGTTTAACACGGGCTAAACTCCATTTAAGTAACTGGTAACTGACCTGGAATGAGTTTAATATGCAGATAGAATATATGCTTCTGTATTGTTGATGTTTTATGATGTTTTAACTAGATGCTGTAACTAAGAATGTACAAGATTCAGTTTTCTTAAAATTGAAAAATTAATGATTATTATGTTTATCGATAGTACAATATCAAGGATTTAAGCAAAACACTGTTTTAAAATTGTGATTGCATCACCATTAGCCTGCACACTGCAAAACATTATTTTGTCACAACTGCAGGGTTCGCACTGTCCTTGAAAAATCCTTGAATTTTAGAGGGAGTCCTTGAAAAGTCCTTAAATTTCTATGCAAGTCCTTGAAAAGTGCTTGAATTTCTTTAACTGCGAATGTAGTGGCCTTTATCAAAAGTGTTTTTTAATGCTTTTTGGTTGTCTAAGACAGAGGATAAATCATAGTTCAGAGAAGTTAAAGGTGATTTACATAAAGCGTTTTTGTCTTGTGCAAGAATTCATTATCAATTTGAGACAAGCGAACAGAGAATGTGGTGAAGCAAACAGTTCAGGCCTTAAAGTTCTGTCAGCGTGGACTGGGAATTTGCTGTTCTGTACAATCTGTGAAATTACATTCCTGGAAGGTGGTCCTTGAAAATCGAATGTGGTCCTTGAAGAGTCCTTTAAAATAGTTACAATTTTTTGTATGAACCCTGCGACTGTGTTACATTCTTGTACTTCCATGCAAACGTGCTTTGCTGCCAATCAGAGTGTGCACGTAGTATCATAGTTACCATAAATCCTCTACAAAGCCCCCCTCTCAAATAAGCCCCAGTGTTTTCCTTATCGGGCAGTAACCAGTAAAATTTACCACCTGAGGCAACACTTCTTACCACCTGCGACTGCTTGAAGGTTTACAAAAAATTGATATTCAATAGGAAGGTAAAAAGTTAACATTACTTTCGGGTAGCCATTATTTTCAGGGTACTGTTACTTTCGGAATTCTAAGGACCCCCTGGAAGGAATGTAATAGAATATTGTGTATTTCTTTGGATTATAGAAAAAAACAATTGTGCTCTCTTTTGCAAACGTTTTCCCTTAGCCACTATTAGAAGTCAAATGGTCGGCCCATAAGTAACTCTCTGTATCAGTTGTAACTTTTTGTTGTGTTTTCAGAGTGGCCACATGCCATCTGTTCGTATCTGGGACATGGAGGATCAGTTACACCCTCAGATTGCAGAGATGACAAAGGGACACAAGTTTGGTGTAGCTTGTGTGGTATGCAAAATTAGCAGCAGTATTAAACACAGAATTATTTTAATCTGCGCCACAGACAGAACTAAACTGGTGAAGTCCGTCTGTGAAACATCACTGAAATCGTTGTTGTGGGCCCCCGACCTGTTTATGTACTGGTACCAGGATTTGATTACGTGCTATGATTCTCCTGTTTAAAGCCATTATCGGGATATTCGAAATGCATTTTTGGTAATTGGTTGAGTTCATTTGGGGCCCAGCCTAGTAATATACTTAATGAATAAATTATTATACCCTGCAACTTGAACTCTTAATGACAACCGCAAGGAACCTTTCTAGGTCTGTCCTTTACTGACGGTGTGTGTTGAAAGAGGCATCATTAATACATGTAAGGCCCTGTTAGGGTGAAATTCTGATAAGTGATGTGAGCTTAAAACAGCAACATAATTAAAGCAGATGAAATGGTAACAAACAAGTGACAAAGATGGGTTGAAATTGCATGTAAGAACAAAATTTTAGTAAAACAATGACAGGGACATGGCCTTCTTCTCAATGTGTGAAACATTGGGTTTTGAAATTGAGACATACGACACCCCCTCCCCGCCCCCCCACACCCTCTTTAGGGGCTCCTTAATGATCAGAATTGAGAAGTTACTTGCTTTATTTTCTTGGCACCGTGTCAGTGTATCTCTTGTTGATTATTGATCTTTTGTGTTGCTTCCAGGCCTTTTCACCTAACCTAAAATATGTGGCCTCAGTTGGTTTTCAGCATGACATGATAGTAAACATTTGGAATTGGAAGGTATGATACTCTGTAACACAACAGACATACTATTCACTAGAGTGCCCCAACATATATTTCAGGTTGTTAAACAGTGACAGGACTGTGTTCTATGGGCAGTGCCCAAGCCTGTCACGCCTTATTTTGCTCTTGGGTTTTCTCATAGTAGTAAAAGTGCTAGACCCATAAGGTTTCAGTAATAATTATTTTGAATGTTTGCACCAAAGGAATGTTCCTTTGTGATGCAAAAAGTTTTAAAAAAAAATGTCTCATTGTGGTCTCAATCGTGCAATGATGCTGTTAGTGTAGTTGAATTGTTTCTGCTTGTCATTTGTGAAAATGTCTTTGTTAATAAAATGTAGAGTAGTGAGGTGTGAAATGTTATTCCTGACAGCATATAAAACAATAATATAATTATAATTACCGTATTTTTATTATGAATAAACAAAAGGACAATAGGCTTTAGACTATGTTTCAAATATGAAGAAAGATTGAAGAAATTTTTTTCAATCGTGCTCTTTGAGTGGCAACTAATATAATTATATAGTTTGTTATAGTTTATAAAGAGTTATTTATTATTGGTGTTTGTTTTATAGACCAGCACAAAGGTTGCAAGCAACAAAGTCTCATCAAAGGTATAAAACCTTACAATGCTCTCTTTGACCATTATGTCGAAGAGATACTTAAACTATAAAGTACTCAATTAGCAGCAGAGCCTGAGGTCGTCAAACTCTTGCGTTTTGTTTTTCTTGGTTGATTTCCTTTGTTTACTCTTTATGAATTTGTACTTGATGCCTTTGAGATGCGCATTAAAAATTAACTGAGGAAGTTACATGTTCATCAGTTAATTGTACAGTTTTTAACTGCTTGGCCTTTTAAGCAGAAACATCTCTGCTCGTTCCGTTTGAGAAGGGAGTGCTCCGACCATCTGCTAACGTACTGTGCTATCATTGAGTGCGTGGTAAATGACATTTTTAATTAATGACTTCACACTTAGGTGTCAGCTTTGTCATTCTCTGAAAATGGAAGTTACTTTGTCACTGTTGGTGTTCGTCATGTTAAGTTTTGGTATTTTGATACAGAATCCAACAAATCAAAGGTGAGTGAAATAGTGAGAGTGAGCGGAATTGTTTTTAAACAAGTGGAATATGTTTTCAAAGGCTAACCTCAAATGTATAGTTACTACAATGTAGCTCAAATCCAACCTACATTCTTATATAATAAATACTGTTTATGTGTTGTCGAAATATTGAAACATGTCCATGGTCCCAGAGTATTGTGTCTTGTGATACCCCTGCTGAGAAAGAGAAGATATGTTGATGGATCTGTTTGTTGACTTCATGTATTGTTAGCTAACGTCTGTACTTTTATTTCTTCAGTTTGTTACTGACAATAATTGCCACAAAGGCAATTCCAAAATGTTTCTTTTTTTCGTTTTGTGATTTGCTAAGAAGAGCCATTTTAGTTCGAGTAATCATGCTTAAGGGCCTATCTTCAATAAAATTAATATTGTCTTTGATAAATATTTTGGAAACTATCTTCTCTTAACAGGCTGTCACATCTGTCAACACTAACTAATTAAAAATAATTGCTCACATCAAATGATTGACAAGAAAACAATTTTTCATTTATTTAGTCGCTTTTGTTCAGTTTTTACCTGGGGCAAATTTTGACCATGGTACCTTTAAAGATTGTCCATCTCAAAGTTTGAAAAACACCACAAACCATCTGCATTTGTTAAGTGTTAGTGGTGACAGAAAATTTTTCTAAATAAACAGCCTTTTTGCTTGTTTGGCTAGGTTTAATTGACAATGAATTAATGGGAACATGATTTTCTTGCAGGTTTCAAAGACACTTGTGATCAATGGACGGGCAGCTCTTTTAGGGGAGCAAAGAAACAACACATTTTGTGATGTAGCCTGTGGTCGTGGACTGAACTCTGATATTACGTACTGCGTAACAAGTTCAGGTTTATTGTGTTCTGTTAACAGCAAGCGAGTGTTGGATTCTTGGGTGGAACTCAAGGTAAACAGTTTCTTTTGAAAGCTTACCCCTGTTGACTGTCCTAATAACCTCTCTTTTTAAAAATTAATATTAAATAATTCTTAGTGGAGACTATCCTGGAAAATGATAAAATGTAATTTGTCATAGATTCATGATAATTATGCATCATATCTTCTTCATTTCAACAGGCATCTAAAGCTCATGCAATAGCAGTTAGTGACCACTACATAGTGTGTGGATGTACTGATGGAATTATAAGGTACGAGAATGCAATGACTACAGTTTATATAGTGGAAGTTCTCCTAACGGACACTCTTGTATGCAGACAGCTCTACCTATGAATGCCTTTGCAAAATCCCAGGCGTTTTTCTCAGCTCCCATACAAACTCTGTATTAGCTCTAGTTACGGGCACCTTTTTTGGGTCCTGAGGGTGTCTGCTCACGAGAACGTCCACTGTATAAATACATGCCTTTGGATGGTTGACTTTTAAATTTAAAAGTCACCTCCTTCATTATTACTGTCTTGTTTGGTCTCATGAATTTTTTAATGGAAGAGAAGTGGATGCAGTGTGAGAGATAAGCTTTATAAGGCAATACCTGCTCCTCAGTAACTCTAAAGGAGAAGACATACAATGAAATTTTGGTAACTATTTACTATCCCTTCACACTATATGCTTTACGCTTTAGCTAAGGGTTATATACAACACATGTTTTTAAAGTCTACTATTATTAATGAGAGCTCATCATTTTTTTCAGAGTATTTAATCCTTTAAAGTTACAACATATTGTAACATTTCCTAAACCTCACTTTCTGGGTGTCAACATAGCAGAGGGAATTGATTTCAGGTAACAAAATAGTACTAATAATAATTATCAGTATCTTACAACTCTCCCAAGGCAAAGTAAGTTTTTATCGGTCTTCTTTGTGCACATGTGTTTAATTTTATTGTACATGTGATGTGTAGTGCATTAAGTAATGTATTAGTTGGATAATATTACCAGTAGTTTTCAATGTTTATGCTTGCAATGTAGCTCAGAATTACTCAGTAGAGTTTAAAGGAAAAAAAACTTACCCATGTATGAAAATCAGAATTTCTATGGATTAATGTTGGTAATGTACGTGCAGTTGACATTTCTGTGTCTTTTATTTTTAATGCTTGCATTTTAGTAATCCACTGTCAAAGCCAGAAAAAGCTGTTTATCCTGATACTGTTGCTGTTGCCCTTGACACAGTCAATCAGAGGGTGAGATAACTTTAGTTAATATTATGTGATTTTGACTAACTTGGATGTTACTGAAAGGCTGGTGATTTTAAAAACTATTCTCAGTACACAGGCTGAATGGTTAAGCTGTTTTTGGACACTGTTTTTGAAGAGCTTGGTTAAGATTTTGTCTAAAAAAAGCTCAGTATAGCCACTGCAGTCATTTAAAAGGTGGATAGCTCTATACCCATTGAATAAAACAGTATACTGTTGATAACACAATTTTTGGTTTTTTGTATAAATACTTTTCCACTGGATAGTCATCTATCCGGTGGATAATGCTACCCACTTTTTGATCAATCGAGTAGGGCCTGACATATTCTTGTCAACATCACTGAAACAGTACATATAAAACTTGAATCATTTAGTATAGGATGTGTCTAATCAAAAATATACGTAAGGAAATGTTTAATACCTTTTGGATATTTTTATTGTGTTTTGATAAATATGAATATTGTTGTTTTGTTTATTTGTTTGTTTGTTTGTTTGTTCTTGCAGTTGACTTGTGTATATAATGACCACAGCTTGTATACATGGGATATGAAAGACATAAAAATGATTGGAAAAACTTGGTCTTCACTGTACCACAGTACATGTGTTTGGGGTGTTGAGGTAAAACATGCAGCCTGGTTGTTGTTGTTGTTGTTTTTGGTGATTCAATAGCTTCGATCTGCAGAAGAGAACAGATTTGCATAAAGCCTGCAGGAACAGCTTGGTCTGGGCTTTTTACCAGATCTGAGTCACATGTTTATACATCCGTTTGAGTTCTGCTCTGTCTGCTTACTAGCTGGATCTCGTTTCATGGTCATGCTGAGTCCTACTGTTCGGTCAACTGCTTGCTTTCTGCCAGTTGAGTTTTTGAAATTATGTTATGTTTGACTGGGATTGGTTCCTTGTAATCCTAATCTCCAGGTTGCTGTACTTTGTATTATGCATGCACAGCACTTTCAGACTAGGCCCATACATAGCCAGCACTTGTTTGGACTTGGCAGGCGCTTAGATTGCATGTAAGCCAATGTGAACATGCTTGTTAGGACCTTCTGTCACTCCCAATCTGATCATGGCCATTTTGATCTTATGTCACGTGAGACTTGTGCAAAGCTCAGCATCAGAGTAAGAGTGTTTTTACCTTCGATCAGTGTTGCCTGTGCTGATCCCTAACCTTTGGTTATTACTACAGACAACTTTTTTTAAGACCACGACTAAGTGTACATCTTAGAGAGATGCCTTTCTAATGGAAATTCAAATAAAGGGTGTAAAGAAAGGAATTGAAGGGACTTGCTCTAGGTGACTGTCTTATAGAGGTGTCGGTTAAGAAAAATCTTGACTGTAGTTTGTTTATAGCATTGTATGTGATTATCTGAGTAGAATGCCTTTACATTACATTGGATCAGCTAGGTGTACTTTCTTCCCCTATAAGCAAAACAGTAAATCATGTAACTATACAACAATGAAGTAGTGAAATATTTATATATCATTGGTTTGTCCACTTACATTTGGTATGATGGTAAACTATGCAGGTCTATCCCAGTGTGTCAGACAATCGGCAAGCAGCTCTCCCACCTGGTTCTTTTCTAACATGTTCTTCTGATGATACTGTCAGGGTCTGGAATATTGAAGAAGGTGAGAATCTTGTTTTCTAGGTACAATTGCTATGGCTGAAGTTATCTCTAGCTGCTACCAGATCCATACAGGCATTTCTGGTCTTTACCACAAATTATTACAACTGATTGTGATGGAACAAGTTGGAATAATACTATTCTTTGAATCTGAATACACCCTGAAACAGAAGTCAATCCTCTTTGGAGTTCTCTATTTCTTCCGTTCACTAACTCCTGTTAAGAAGAGTACTTAAGTTAAAAAGAAGTGAATAATTTTTTTCATGCTTTGTGTTCTTGTAAATGTATGCACTTCTGTAATATTTCTTTTTTAGGAACAAGCACGTTATTTGAAAGAAATGTGTACAGCAAGGTACGTCGCATTACGTTACATTTTTCCCCTTGTTTTACCCACAGAATCTATTTTCCAATAAGTTCAATAACCAGAATCTTAAACCATTGACATTGACTCTAATAATGACTCCTGCACAGGCTTTAATTAAAACATCAGTCACTGTCACTAACAGTCTTATTCTTGACTATACACTCAACTTACTTATGACACTTTTCCTGTGATCAAATTATTTATTAATAGTAACTACAAAAATTAACTACAAAGATTCAAACAATCTTTTTGTTTCTTACAATGTATGTTGCAGGAGATGATGAAGATCTTATACACAGGAGATACAGTTGACAATCTCAAGGATACTGATGTCAGTCCAGGTTTGTGGGGAGCAATACCTGTTAACGACTGCACAGAAATCCTTACTTTATTTTTATTTCTATTTTACTATCATTTTGCCATTTAAGTTAATTATATACATGAAATTTAAAAAAAAAACAAGATGAGGCAAGGGAGCTCAAGGAAGCCAATAGGCCAATAAAAAGGACCACCTTCAAAATACATGTTTATTACACAATTAATAAATAAAATACTGGCATCGGCGAGACAATTAGACTAAGCAGATACAATTTCTTTACAACATGGAAAATAATCATTATATAGGATAAAAATAGATAAGGCTGAATGTGCAAGTGCAAAAACGAAAAAGAAAAAGTGAGAAAAAATATTGCAAGAATATACGAGAAATTTAAAGCGAAAGAAGCGAAAAACTACACACAAGCATTAAGAGAAGTAAAGTGCTCTTATACCAAGAAAAATGACTTTAGTTAGAAGTGAACACTGGGTATGTATGCTATTAGTAGGAAGGGAAATTGAAGAGGTAGGAAAGTCTTTAATGTTCAGTTACTTGTGTTTATTTTGAAAGAATACGCTGTATTCATAGTCGGTGCCATTTTATTTATCATTTATAACTTTTATTTATATTTTTGTAAACATATTTCTTTGATTTTTCTCGTAGCAATCAAGAATATGAGAGATTCTACCAGTGAGTATCGTAACAGTGGAGTAAGATGTCTGCGAATCAGTCCTGATGGTCAAACACTTGCTACTGGCGATAGATCGGGCAATGTCAGGTTTGTTGTCTCTAGTTGGTCACGGTGGCATTGATTGATTAACAGATTTTTAAATACTTGAACTCGGATAGTCTACTAACAGATGTTGTTCAATTAGGTTTCTATCCCATGTGAAATTCTCTCTTTATTTCACTGGCAAATTCAAGAGAAAAAGAGTTAATAAGCTGTTTCGCGGGTTTTTGGGTCTTTAGTCTCGGTACCTACAGCCGGTTTTAGCCGGGAGTTTCGAGGGTGGAAAATCTAAGAATTTAAGTCCTATTTTTGCAGGTAAGGGGCATAAAGAAAAATTAAAGGGCTTACGAAATATGAATTATTTGACTTATGAGCTAATTTTTTTCTTTGTAATTTCTTGTTAACAGGGTTTACGACTTGATGTTCTGTGATGAAATTGCGAAGATCGAGGCTCATGAATCTGAAGTGTTGTGTGTAGAATTTACTCCTACTGAAAGTGGTAATGATATGAAGAAATTCAGCAAATATCGCGAGGCCACCACTAGTTTCCCCGCGAAATGGCGTCAGAGGCATGAGCGCAAAAAATTCCATGCTAATGACGTGTCAGTACGCAGATCTGGGTAGTGCTTCTGACTGGTTTACGCAAATTTCCCGGCATGAACAATGAGGAACTCTACCCTGATTTGGGTAATGACACGTCATCAGTATGGAATTTCTACTCTCGTTCCTCAGACTTCAATTCGCGGGGAAGACGTTAGCCTGCGAAAACAGCCGTTTCTCCTCGCTCCTTGCCGCTGGGGACGTTTCCAGCGGCGAAGAGCGAGGAGAAACGACTGTTTTCGCAGGCTAGGAAAACGTCAGCTGTTTTTCAGGCTGCCCTGTAAACTGCAAATTACGGTCAGCGCCTTCGTGCCAAACTCGCGGATAACGGTGAAGTGCCCGAAGAAAAATATAACCAAGTGAAGGAGAAAACTCCCGGAGAAAACTTGAATCTTTTAGAGGAATGCTTTAAGATTGAGAAATACGCAGCATCACTCACTTTTTTCCCTCCGCTTTTTTCTTGGGGGGGGGGGTGGGGGGTTAAGGGGGAATTTGAAATTGGATAAGTGAAACTTAATTCGGATTCCCACTTTAAACTCAACTTACGTACCCTTGGCAATCTTTTCTCTTCACTTGTAGGTCATAAATTGCTGGCCTCTGCTGGACGTGATCGACTTATTCACGTCTTCGATGTACAAAATAACTTCAGTTTTGTTCAGACTTTAGATGATCATTCAGCTTCCATCACCTCCATCAAATTCAACAGTAAGTTAAGTAGTAGTGGTAGTGATTACGTTTATCCTCACGCAAAGTGGAACCCTAGCCTCTCATTCAAGGAGGACAGACGGCAAATTGTTGTTGCTCGGAATATCTAAAAGTCGTAATTGATATCATGTGTGGTTAATTTTCCTGAAGGGAGAGGGACATCAGTACGTAGTTGGTTGATTTTCGTTGAATTTCACTTGTTTCTTAACTTTCCCTTAAGGCAGAAATCTAATAATAATAATAATGACTTTTTTTACAGTATTTCCACTGAAAGGTGGCTCTTCATCTGTAAAAAATAATAACAATAAAAATATTAATTATCCTGTGAGCCGATCAGCACATAAACTGGTTAATGGTTAGTGGACATTCTATGGGCTTAGACAGGTTCCTTTGTGATGCAGACGAACATTACTTTCAAGATTCTAAAATTAGAGCTGGACTGGACCCTTTCATTAAACCAAATAAAATGATTCCCCAATATAACGAACTGCCAAAGAATAGAGAAAATGTATTCGTTATAACTGGGATACGCTAAATCGGGGTCTTGTTCCATCGGTTTAGTGGGATCTTTGTTTCTATGAGGAGGGTTTTTTTCCTTTTTACCTGAGTTCCATTGTATCACGCAGGTCTGATGCCAACTTTTTCGTTTCAGTGTCTGAATCTGAAGAACTTCAGCTGTTGAGCTGTGGAGCTGACAAAAGTATCATATTTAGAACCGCTCAACAGGTATCTTAAATATTCAATTGCTTATAACTTGTAATGTTTCCGCAGGCGTTGGTGAACCCCTAATTTCTCCCTCCTTCTCTTTCGAACCCCCCTCCTTTCCAAGGTAAAAATTCATAGGAGAGACTATCATATTACTCAGACCTCAATAGAAGGAGTTCTTGGAGCTTCCCCTTGAGTAAGAAATTATAGGAGGCACCGGACTGGATTGTAACACGGCTTGGTCTATTGCTTTTTTCCAGGCGTTCAGATGGTGGAGTGCGGCGAGAAGTCAGAGAGCGGGAAACTGAAAGAGAAGTGTCACTTCTCTCTCACCCCTCCCCCTCTTCCTCTGTTTTTTGCCTGCTCACATCTCTTCGCGCGGCCCCCAAGATCTGAACACCTGGAACAGCCGGCCGGCTACTTGGTCCAACACATATCTAATGCTCAACAATAAACGTCGTCCCTATTGCGTGGACAAGCGCTCTCTTTTGACTTAATTTAACAGTTTCTTCTTTATCTTTGTAGAATCCAGAGCTGCAGTTTGTTAGAACCACGAATCATGTTGGTAAAACTACATTTTATGACATGGACATAGACGTGTCAAGGTGAGGTCATGTCCTTTATTTTCCTCTGCAACAGTTAAATACCAGATGTTTCTCCTCTATTGTATTCTCATACGTAATTTCGATCTGTTTTTTAAAATTTGGTTTGATCATTTTTTTTCCCAGAAAACATGCAGCTACTGCTTGTCAAGACCGAAACGTCAGGTATGAGTTAAACATTGAATTGAAAATAATAATATGGAGACTGAGTGGTCATCATAGGAACAGAGTGTTACGTTCAGTGAAAATAAAACTGAGAGAAATGTAAGCAAAGTTTTTCCATTTTGCGCATGACACCGTGGCGTCTCTAACGGCTTAGTAAAATTCAGATTGTTGGTGTGTTTAGCAGAACCCGATGAAAAAACCAATCAGTCAGCCGTTGTAGGCCCTAGGAATCCCGGCGATCTGATTATCATGAGGTCGTGAGTGAGGGAGTAAGAAACGGAATACTGTAGAGCGTTTCCACCGATGGCGTCACGTCGGCCATATTGGTGTTTCAAAAGAATGAGACGGCGGCCATGTTGGTGTTCCAAACCAAGCCGGAGGGGCCGGGGTTGATCCTCTTTTCGAAATTTTTGCGGGTTCTAATTTTTGCGATTTTTCCAGCTATCCGTTATTGCAAATAAAAATTAACTCAAACATTTTTCCGCAAAAATTTACTCCAGAGTAACATTTTCTAACTTAAATTCGCTACACAAAAATTCAGTACTAAGAAATCGTGTCTGTTCAATTACAACTTGTCTCTTTCATTCAGAAACAGCGTAGACGCTTTTACAAATACGACTTCGGCCTGCGATACCGTTGCTGGTTGAAAGAGATCGCATACTCGGTGATGCTATTTAGGAGGAAGCGTGGCCGAGCAGTTAGAGAGCTGGACTTGTAATCCGGAGATCCCTCCCTGACCGCTAGCGGGATTTGTTCTCGGTAGCCCTGTGTTCAAATCCTTAGCCACGCTTGTAAAATAGCCAACTGGTTCGTCTCCTACCAGTTGGGATTCTTAAACTTGTTCAATTTGAATTATTGGTTTCATGATTTTTCCTGAAAAGCCCCGTAAGCGGAGAATATAGCTAAGTATTTTATTTAATTTTTAAGTCAGACAAGCATATGGATATCTTCCATGCATATTCTCTCTTCTATAAAGAAGGACTTACCAAAATAAAATTCATCCATTCGTGCTTGCTCCTGATTATGAGTTGTTGTTCCCTTTTTTGCAGAGTTTATGATGTTAGCAGTGGTAAACAAACAAGAATCTATAAAGGAACTCCAGGAGATGACGGAACTCTCGTTAGAGTATGTTTCCTTCATCACTATCATTTCTTTGCTAAGCTTTAAACAATTTCCTGGCAGGTGCCGGTCAAGTTTTCCGGTTAAACCGATTTTCGCTCGGACACAACCCGTCTTTGGCCGGACAAGTATACGTTAATTACGTCATACCTTCATTAAGGAACCAGCCCCCCTAATCCTACACCCCCCAAAGCTTTCTTTTTTGTACATGAACTTGAGTTAGACTCCATTCCTGAATAGTCCAGTCTGTTAAGAGTGGCATCACTCTCTCCTTAATGAAAGGTAAAAACAAATCCGTAAAAAAAAAGAAAAATTACTATAATCGACTGAGGTTTCATGCTCTTTGTCTAAATTGTTGTTTTGGATCATCGGCGTATGGTACACGTACTTTAGAGATGATTTGTATGTTTTTGGTTCCTCTAGAATTAATACGTTGTTTTTGTCGTTGTTAGATAACTCTGGACAACTCTGGCACCTACGCAGCCTCGAGTTGTTCAGATAAAACCGTCAGTATCGCTGAATTTGACTCCGGGGAATGTGTGGCCAGTATGTCTGGACATTCTGGTGAGTTGTAGACTAGATAGTGTTCGTTTTGGAATAAAATATAAGGATATTAAGTGACCGACTTATAACTAGCCATTGTAGTATTTGGGAAAAGTTCGGGGGCATTGAGCAAAGTTCTATACTGGGAGGCTCCAACCCTTTACCTTTAGATTTTGACAAAAAAGGCATTCGTATACCTATTATTGACTGATAGTACCCTTTCACATGACCAGTTAAGAACGCTTCATCCCTTTTAACTGCTGAAAATGCAGCTAAATGAATAAATAAGACAACCAGAAAGATTTTTTACTTTTGCGGAGCCACAAAATGCTTCTGTTAGTCGGTTTAGGTCCTTTAACAGACCGAGGTGACAGATTTCCCTTCCCTTTAATATACTTCAACTAGTGAAATCCCTGCCCAGACTATTATAGAGAGTCCCCCCGCCCCCTGCCGGGGGAAGTGAAATTAGAATCTGTTTGTGTGGAAGGTAAGGAGAGGATAACCACTTGACTATGAACGTAGCTTGGATAAATTTTCACAGACCCCTTTTTCCGTGGGATTGCTTACCGAGATCGATCACAGCCTCTATTCTTACATCCGCCCGAACCAAGTAAGCTAAGCCTGTTTGAAACAAAGGAGTATGAGGCTTTACCTAATACTTGACCATTAAACTGTTTTTAGAGGTTGTCACTGGAATCAAGTTCTCTGTTGACTGCAAGAATCTCATTTCTGTTGGAGGAGACGGGTGAGTTTTTCAACTTTGCGCCAACCTGTATAAAAATTTTGCAATACTTGTACTTTGCGTCTGCACCGGAAACATTAATGAAAGCAACAACATATGACCTGAGAATGATTTTTTGTTCAGATACTCAGCGACACAGTGCGACTAAAAAACCGGAGTTTTCCCAACATGAATCGAACCAACTATTTTCTCGTTACTGCTGGAGATGCTGTACTATTAAGCTACGGGAAACTCGTCCAGGGCTTCTGGAGTAGTATCTTAAAGGTCGTAGGTTCGACTTCGTTGGCAGAATTCGGATTGTTTTTTTGCCAAGTTGCCTGTCTTTTGACTAAAAAAATATCATTCTCATAAATTCACCAGACTAAAAATATCGATATCGACAAGAGACCTCCACAGAAAGTGTTATTTCAATTCTTGTTTCAGTTTTTGCGGTATCGGGACTGAACTATCAGTACTGTTTTATTGTTTACAAAATATATAAAGACGTTTGCATTGACCGCTTTATTTGATTTCTTTCTTCCTTGCAGTTGCATCTTCGTATGGAATATCCCCTCAACTTACACACAGGTAACACGTTAAATATTATCTGGACGAAATGTCTCATTTCGATGCTTTCTAGAATTAACGTCTGACCAACGCCCCAATTACATGTATGTATACATTAGTCAAATCCAGGTGATGTTCACCGCTGAATCCAGGATAGTGCCCTACAATGAAGGAGCTGTATATATATTTTCATCTTTTTAAAAATCTTTTCTTTCCTACTTGTCTCTAAAAAATGCGTGGTCACCACACAACAATTTTTGCCTGCTTTATAGATCTCTATTCTTTTTTTTCTTTCTTTTCTTTTCACCAGAATATGGTTGAAAAACTTCACGCTCTTGGACATGAACCGGCGATTAAGACCCAATTGGGAACTCCACTCAGGTAAAAAGTCCTGACGTTTTTACGAGTTTTTTGCAGTTCTATTTTTCCTCGTTTATCCGTCGAGTAATGTACCCCAGCAAGCACGATCGCAAAAGATACAGGTACACGTTAAAATGTTTCAACACAGTCAAACGTCTGAGTACAGTGAGGCGGATTTTTTCTCTATGGTTTGAGATTTCATTTGCCATAAAATGGCAACACTTGCCAGAGAGGGTTTGAACTGACAGGACATGAAATAAAGCCCCGAACGACGGACAATGTCCGGTCAAAAACAGGTGTTGTCTGGTCACATCCATGAATGGTCGGTCACGTTTTATGCAGTCTGTTGGCACGGGGCAGAGAAAAAAGGGTAATTGTTACAGTGATCATGTTGCTAATAATTTGAGGGTTTTTTAACAAAGTGTTTTTCATATTAAAAACAGGCGGGACACGTACCAAATATCGCACCCTACCATTCCTGAAGAGAGCGAGTTTTCGCCTGCAGGACCTTCGGCATTCACGCGACCATTTAGAGGTAGGCCAACTGAACAGTAATCGGTAGCTTTATAATGCCTTGCTCAAAATGAGCAGAATGTTGAATTGGAAAGATCACTGAAACGTTCCCGCCTAAAAGAAATCAGTTCAAGAATTTTGTTTGCCTTTTCCCCGTTTCAATTTAACCAAAGTTTTCTTGTCTAGGAACATGTTGATGAAATATATAATATATGAACATTTCATATAATTATTTGAACCGTGGGAGGAATAAGTAAATGCAAAGGAGATCATCGCAGTTAAAGACGCAACTTATGCAGTTGCGAAAAGAAAGCCTTAAAAATTCAGACTTGCCGATATTCAAACATGTTACTGAAGCTTATGACGTACTGTTGAACCTCTTCTCCGTGATTCAGTGATGATAAAAATAGCCTGTGTACAGCTGCCCCCTTCCCTCAGAAAAAAATCAGAGAAGGGGCCCCTTCGCCGATTTTTTCTGAGGGGAGGGGGTCGGCTGTATCCAGGCGAGATAAAAAAAGCTTTCATTATTGCTTTTGTTTTATACTCAAAACAATCTATAGGAAGGTCGACGCAATCGTAATTTTATCCGGCCTTCGGGTAAATGGGACGAAAGTTAATAAAGTAGAAGCCCCGCCCAGTCTGATCTGGAAGTTGAATTTTAGTGCAGATGGAAAGTTGAAAAAATAAAAAAAGGTGACAAATTAATGCCGGTGAATGCAGTAGATACTAAATAAATCGGCAAATCACTTTGCGTTGAAGTTTTGATGGTGTTACAAAAAAAATCAGTAGAGTGTCGATGTCTTGAAAGTCCTTCTCTGTTTGTCACTTGTTTTCCCGTCTTGATATCTTCGTTGTCATTTTAGAACCCAGTCCACCAGTTAAAGATTACCGCTTCAGTGTTGGCCAGCTGCCTTCGTGGGCACAAAAGCAGGTAGGTTAATTTAAAACCGTGCTCTTCTGCGGTGCTTGCGCCTGTTACTCGTGATGCTTGCGTGCTCGTTTTTATTACCCAAATCAGCCCAACTCTTAAGCCCAACTCACTCGCTAGGTTTCGTACCAGGCCCTTGGAAGTAATGAGCGCTCGAGGGAGACACGCGCGCCCCGTTCTTTCGGCGGGTGCCAGCTCCAAAAATTAAAATTGAAGAAAAACCCAAAAGAGTAACAAGTAATAAAATGAGAAAGTATTGCTGATGAAGAGGTTTTTTGTTTTGAGTTGATGGAAGGTAGAATTACTTTGCATATCTATGACGTGTGGAAGTGACTTGACTCAATATAATGCTAGTAGTATCTGCTCCGCCGGGGATTCTTATGAAGTCGTTTTCTTTGTTTACTTAATTAGCTCGTTGCTGAAGGAAGTGAAAATGTAACCGTGTCTCCGGAACAGGACAACGGCCAACAGACAGCTCAACCCGGAGGGCGCTGGGCACAGGTGAGTGTTAGAAACAACATGGATTTACATACAATGCAACCTAACAATTGCATGCATTACATTCTCTCCAAAAAGTAGATGTGCCCGGACTTCTACTCGTAAAAGACCTCCCGCAGTTCAACTCTCGTAAACGACTACCTCCCTTAAGCGACCACTAACTCTTTCACTAACTGGAAGTTCGAATGTCGTGCCTTTTTTGCAATTGTAGAAATTTTCGCGCGAGGGCGATAGTTTCTGATGTAATGTAAACTTGCCTACAAGTCGAGCTCATAGTCTTTCTAGAGCGCGAAGCGTGAGCGGTAGATTTCTTTTGTTTTCTGCGGCAAGAGAGAGCTGGGGCCAACTACCGGAACCGGAAATGAGAAGCGAAGGACTTTGAGAAAGTCTAGATGTAATGGTATAGGCAGGGAAATGGCGCAAAAATGAGGCATCTCTTTCTTCCGCCGTCATAGTGGTGTGATTTTCCAAGAAACACGAATCGGACATAAATTCTTCTGAGGTCACTATGTAACTTGTGATACATTTCTGCAGTTAATGAAATTGAAATTTTCTTTTACTTTTTTAGCGAATTCAAAATGGCGGAATTCATGTAGCGGGAGAAAACGGTACATTACAACCGATTAAATTTCCACTTGATCCAGCAGGTGAGGATCGCAGAATTAGTTAATTCATGTATTTTATTTGAGAATATTTTTAGACTTGGCTAGGGGGAAGTTACTTTCACGTGCAGGGCCCAGTCGTTCGAAAGGCGGATGATGCTATGCACTGGGTAAGTCTCTATCTACTGGATAACGCAATTGGGTAGTGATTTATCCAGTGGATAGAGCTATCCAACGTTTAAACAATCGGGACCAGGAAAATATGCCCTGGTTGGGCCCGGTTGTTCGAAGGCCGATTAGCGCTTAACCCGGGGTTAAATTTAACCCGGGTTTCTTTTTCTTGTGTTCAAAAGCATTTTCTCGGTTAATTTTGTCTGTTATTTTTAGAGCTTCCAATCATCAACTTGTAGACAAAAAGAATTAAAACTGAAATGCTTTTTAAGCTTTCAAATATGAATTCAAATCTCGCACTAACCCTGGGTTATCTTAACCCAGCTTTGAACAACTCGGCCCTGGTGAGTAACCAGGAAAAATCAGACCAGTAATTGGTAATTGTTTTTTTTAAGGTTGAGCCGGAGACAGGGTTGAATTTCAGTGTGAGACTCTTTTAGTGACGCTTTACTCTTTCATTGGTTCTTACTAAGTCGCACAGGAAACCGTTTTAACTGTTTTGACTTGTTTTTTTTTAATTTTTTCTTTCAACAGACCGTAAACGATACACGATAGAACCAATTTCTCTTCAAGAGCAAATGAGAGCTCTGGCGAATAGCGTATGTAACTTGAATTTAATTTAACCCTCCCTGAAAACTCCCAGAAGTGATTGTCATGTATCGTCTCCTTACATCAGCCAGAGGGTTTTGTCTTTATAGTGACCCAAATTCTCTTAACTAATGACCAAGGAAACGTATAGCAGCGGGAAAGGAGAATTTCTAATCAGATCGTGGAAGTGAAAGGGTTAGACCCATGAGAGAACTTTGCTTCATTTATTCTCGAAAGCGGTTTCCCATGACAAGTTTTCCAGTGGTGCAAAGGTCAGTTTAACAGATCAGGAGACAAGGAAAAAGACAACACAAGACCGAATTTCGAGTTCATTTTTTTTTTGCTGGTTAGCGCACTCGACAGTGGTGTTGGCATATCCATTTCAAAATGAAATGAAGATTAAATAAATCCGCGGACCGAGTTTTTTCGGGTTCAATGCCGGGATCTATTTTCATGTTGTTTACTAGTGTTGTTTGTTTTCATATGGAGTTTGCGGAGTAATATAGTGTGCTATGTCCTTTCCTCTTGACCTATCGGAAGCTCTTGTTGCAGGCTACGCGCCATATCACTCAATTTTGCGCGCGAAAAAAGTTTCTTTTGGCCCAATCGTTATATTTAACGCCATAGTCTGTTTGCTTGTCCTTAACGTTCTCTTCTTTCTCTCTTCGCAGCCTCTCGAGAGACGTTGTTCCCTTACAAAAGGGGTAAGCTATTTTCTGTTAATTCTCTCTTGTCCCTTGCAATGAAACCTGGCAAGCTTATCAAAATCAATTTTTTTCTGCACATTCAAAACAGGGAATTTCTTTAACATGTAAAACCTTTGACTGAAGGGGCTTCGCGCTCGCGTGTAACGAGGGCCAACAACTTTTTGTCGAAATTAGCATCACGCATGGAGCGTAGGTGCATAGCACATCGAGGCAGAAATACGAGTTGGCTATATTTTTATATATCTGTTAGTGACGTTATCTACTTTTTCCTTTGTTTGTGCGGCCGTTTTGGCGATCAAGATGATTGTTTCTGTCGGCTCAGTGTGCCAGGGTACGAAACTACCGAACGAGGGGCCAACAATTTTTGTTTAAATTAGCATCACAAGCTGCAATTCTTGCAACGTTGGTGAGACGAAATTTTCACACAATTGAATTGAAAATTTGGTTACTGATTTTGTGAGTGGAAGGTTTAAACTAAAAAAAATATCGTGCGTAAATTATGTGTGAATATATCTCTTAATAGGAAGATGATGATCTGTTCCCGGCCGATGGCAGAGCTGCTTTGGAAGAGCTGACAGAAGATGACATGGAAAATGAGGTATATAATATTTCATGAGGGAGCACGAAACATAATATTTACTGGTTATGGTAATTTTTGTAGGCATGGCTTTAAAACTTGAAAAAGGTGGCCCAACGTTTTGAGTTTCGATCCATGTCCATCCTACCCTGGGTACAAGAGTTTTTTTTCCGCGCGTGCGGGTGGATGCTTCGGTGTCGGTAGCAGGCCGACAGTTGACCGAAACCGGAAACCGCGCATGAAAAGTCTGTGGCACCCAGGGTATGTCCATCCTTACCATCCGTAGCAAAAGACGACAGGAAACAGTTTCAATTCCTAAATCTAGTCTTAAATAACAAAACTAGACTAGACGCGAAGACAGATTGGATTGTTATACGTTTCTGGGAAACTGCCCACCTACCCCTCCCCTAAGCCAACATTAACGCTTCCTTCTCACTTAGGGCAAAATGTTGGCTTAGGGGAGGGGTAGGTGGGCAGTTTCCCAGAATTTTAGCTTTTCAGAAAGATAGCAAATAGCGTGATATAGTCCCTTTAAGAGGTAAAACTTTCGCCTTGCAGGGTGATAGTGAGGCGCCTTCTGGAGTCACCGTGACACGTGGCAGCGACGTCGCCAATTATCCTCCTCGAAGGAGCAGTGTACTGACCTCTGAATCAGGAGAACTGAAGTTTGAGGAGGCAGAGGAACTTAAAGAGGGAGAAGTCAAGGAAGTAATCATCTACCTTCCACCAAGTCAGGATGACTTTGACAGTGAAGTCGCCAGGTCAGACAAACATTCCCAATATACCCCCCACGGGATCCTTGATCATTCTCGACCCCAGTGCCTCTTGAGTCGTGAGGACCGAAGCCTCTCCGACCTTGATCGCTCTGCTTGTGGTACTGGGGCAACGTCCTTCTCGATGGGCCACATGCCCTCTATACCGCCACAACAAAGGAGGTCGACCTGTCATACTATTGGTGAAAGCGCATCGATACTCCCTTTTGGGGTAATGTCGAAAGCTCCCCTTGTGCAAAGTCAATCCCACTGTTGTAATGTCTCTATAACTGTAAGTTCTTCCTCACATGTCAAAAACGATTCCCCCGCGGATCTTTGCAGAGTTTCTCCCAACCCTGAACATCCTAAGCTTTCAACATTCTATCAAACAAATGAAGTGATTTCAGGTTTAAGTAGTAAATCTCATTTCAGTGAAGTTACAAAGCCTAAAACTAAAACGTTCGTGAACTCACCGTTACACTCTAAAGACAATAAACGATGTCTGCAATTAAATCCTTTTTCTGGAAACGTTAGTAACTGTAAACTAAACCTTGTAAATGTTGAAAGTAGTAAAAACTCCTTTTCAGCTGAAAATGATTTTATAGAAATTTCTCTTAAAGATGATACGGTCAGTCCCACACTATTAAAGTTTAACTTAAAAGAGAAACATGCTTTCCTTACAGGAATAATAAACAAGAGGAAAGCGTTCTGCTTTATTGTAATGCTTACCGTTGCTTTACTCGGATATTACAACTTCGTATGGATCCAGTAATTTGTTGGGAGATATCAGATAAATGATTTTTATAAAAGTAATCACCGAATGATAAATTGCTCCTCGTATTTTGAATATGGTTCTGCCTTCCTTTTGCTGGCTAAATTTGTCATTAACTCCGAGATTTCAAATTTTTAGGTTGTTCCAAAGATCTCAGCCACACAAAAATACAAGTTTATGGTCGTTAACAGTCGCCATTACACTACGCGAAGCTTGTTCTTCTGGCTTAATTGTATGTACGCGATTTGCTAAAACTGCTTTCTTTTTTCCAACCAATCAGAAGCAACAACCAAATCAATTTCACCTTGTTGGCAGGCGTTTTCCCGCGCTGCTTCGGCCACATGTATTGTTGTGAGTTTTGATTGGTTGGATGGAATGTCCGCGTCTGTTGTGCTTACGGCATGAGCTGCATTCTGAAAATAGTAGGCAAAAAAGGCGATTGCTTGAGTTCTCTGAAGAGTCTGTAAACATAAAATGCGGCATTGAAACGATGCAGTTTCCTTGCGCACTGTTTGCGTGGCTGAGAAATTTGAAAATATTTTTTGACTTAAACTAATTTTTATTTTATATAAAGTAGTCTCAATTTTATAAGGTAAATCTAAATTATTCAAACTTTAAAAACAGATCGAGACAGAATTTTGCTGTAAGCATCTAAAACCGTTACTTTAAAATTTAAAGTGTATCTAAACCGAATTCGTTCGTGATTGAATAAATTTTGTAAACATTTCTTTTTGTTGTTTTTCTTTTTCCCGCGTGTAAAACAGTGGCTTAAAATTTTCCATCTGCTATAAAACTACTCATTTGGCGCCCTTTGAAAACATTTACGAGAGAAAACACTCAAGGTAAAATAAAATTTAGTCATGCTTATTAAACTTAATAATTTGCTAAATAGAAGTTAAAAATTTAACCGCTTAAATAACTAGCTTGATGAACAACAAGTACCTCGACGTCTGAATTTTAAAAAAAATAATAATAAAATTTTAACTGAATTATTTCATTACACAGTTGTAACACCAGCTCTATCAGAGGCCACAGGAAATATATAGATATTTTCAGGAAATCACAAAAGTCTAAGTAAGTTAATCCGAAAAACCATGCGCCATTCAACATCGTGGACATCACAAACCTGCTCTGAATAACAACCAGCGCCCTTTACTTCAAAACGCTTTTTACCCATAATTTCTCAACATTTACTAACATTTCTTCCCTTCCTTAGAACATCTAGTCACTTCGCTTTGTCGAGGTTAACATTTCAATATAATCAGCTAACACCAATATGTCTTCCTTTTCTGCTCTCTCTCGCTTGACCCAGTGCTCCACGGGTCCAAGAAGTCGTGGAACATTACGAGGTCCTGCAACTAAAGCATCACCCGTCTTGCCCAAATATCCCTCAACAAATCAGCAACGGAGATGCTTCGTTGCCGGAGGATGACCTGGACAAACCGGTCGATCCGGTTACTCCTCGTCGTAAAAACAGCCCTGGGACGCTTCAAAGATATCCGTCTTCGGATTATCTTCCGTCTAGAGTTGAAAATTTCCTCAGGTAACCCAGTAATTTAAACTTAAAGGTTTTCTAAAATTGTTTTATCTTATAAAGTTTTTTTATTCAGTCGCAATTCAAAGTTTTCACGTTTGCTTAACCAAAGGTAACAGACATTTTTCCTTTTTTATTCAGGAAAACAAATGTCTTTTTTGTATATTATTATTGCAATTCTGTTCTTAAAGTAAAACTGTATAAAGCGAAAAGTTCTATAATTATCCTTTTACTGTAATATTAAGTTCAGTTCAAACCCGTTAATTTACTGTTTAACGTAACACTCTTTGAAACCTAATGTGCCCCTGTGAAACAGACGTTTTTTTCTGACATCAAGTCTTAATTAAAGAATTTAAAATAACTCATAAAAAAAGTCCCCCTTTTTGTCAAAAATATTGGTAACCTTGTTATGTCATAGATGAAGTTAAACTAAACAATAAGTTAACCCTTGTGTTGTAGTTGTGGGTCAGTTTTATAAAAGTATGGGTAAGCTTGTCATTTCTGGCACAATTAACCCTAATTTGTACATTCGAGACAAGACCCTTCAAATAACAGCTGCGTTTGCTAGACTAATGATATCTGCAGTTGCTGCTACTTTTAAACCTTACATATTCACCTTACGTGTAGTTACGCCTCCTAATATACTCTCCAGATTGGGACGTTTTAGGCGCAAATGCGTCCAGTTGTTTTAGTGTATCCTTAGTTACGCTAGAGCCAGTGTGAATGGATCCACTAAAACAACCATACGTCCGCGCGTTTTATATCACAATGAAAAGTGGTTATGTAGTGTGTTAATTCAAGCCAGTTAAAAGCAGTTCATATACCGCTAGCTATAACTGATATTGGGCTCTCGGGAGGTAGAAATGCGTCTAATGGATGGCGAAACCAAACCAAAACGCGTCTCTTAAAATTGTTGCATGCTTTATGTGGCGTTGTTTTTGCCACCTGAATGAGAGCCCTGTACGCGCTTTTACTTTTAAATGTCAGTTTTGTGTTGTGGTAAGTTGTGGTCAATCGACTGACAAGAAATTGAGAGAAGGCGAGAATCCCCAAGCCCATGAGATAACTAAAATTTTCTCTTCTTTTTTTTGACCAAAGGACATGAACCACTTTTGAAAAAAGTTCTATTCCGTCATTTTTTGTAATTCAAACTCTTGACTCTGGATTTGACTGAACAACATTTGGAAACATAATAGCACATGAATCCCTTCTTTTCTTCCATGGATTGGGGTACACACAAAATTGCTCGAACCTTACTAAGATAGACACTTCTGCATTCCTCTAGTGGTCGAGACTTGGATGGACAATTTCATACAAATGACTGTTTTGTTACCCCTAGCCCCACGTTGGTGTGCCTGTGTACAAGAATTGAGGGAACAGTCTTTTGGCTATAAGAACTGCGAGATATTAAGTAATTCGCCCAGTCCCTGTACGGCGTCTTCCCAGGCCTTCTCGGTCAAGGCATTTCGTTGACATATCAACCCGCTCGGACAACGTGACCCAATACGCATCGGGCGAGCGCAATAATGATGCCTAGGGACTAGGCAAATAATAAATAATGGCATATTTACTATACACGCTTCTCATGTCATGTCGCATCTCGGTCACACACAGAGCGCTCATCACCTCCGGTAAAGCCGAAATACATTTCAGTAGCAGTGTTTCCCATTATATCGACTTACATTTATCCAACATTCTGTGTTTCCGAATGGACCGTTATTTCTTTCTAAACTATGCGATCATACTTGGGAACACTGTGTAATTATTTTTCCCAACTGAAATAATTTCCTTGTCTCACAAAAAATGACTGCTTTGTTATCATAATTGTCTGCTGACATTGTATTCTGTTCCATCAGGGCTTTTCAACTTTCGGTTGCCCAACGTCCGAAGAGACTGTCTCTAACAGTAGAGGACTCAAAAGGAGAGGAACAAGAGGTATTGACATTGGCATTGACACATTAACATTTATAAGCACTGTGTGTTTTAGCGGGGTGGAGGGGAAGGGGGGCCTATAGAGACTGGGAGAACTTATTTGTGCGAATGCCGATTAGCGCTTACCCGTGGTCAAATTTTAATTCGGGTTTCTTTTTTTTTGTTCAAAAGCATTTTCTTATATAAAATATCTATTTTAGAGGGTTTAATCATCAAACTGTACGCAGACAAAATGAATTAAACTGAATTTGCTTTTTAAGCTTTCATATCTGAATTCAAATCTTAACCTGCTTTCAACAACCTGGCCTTGACGGAAAAAGTGAAGCTCGGAATTTTTAGGCCAAACTCACGATTAGACTACGAGTAGTCTCCAGGGATAGTAGAGCGAGCGAAAGGCGAGCGCGCGGGAGTACGTTTCGCTCGCTCTACTATCCCTGAGGAAGATGGGGACTACTCGTAGTCTAACTCACGATCGGAGAGAACAAACAGAATGTAGTAATTTATGAAGAGTTCATTTTGTTTTTGTGTTATAGGAGAACGAGAATATGAAATCTGTGGAGAAAGAGAGAGCCACTCGTAAGTTTGGTCATTATTGTTGACGTTTCCTGTGGGGCTTCCGATTACAGTTGAACCTCCATTAAGCGGCCACTAGCATGCGAAAACATCCGTTTCTCCTCTCTCTTCGCCGCTAGGGACGTTTCCTCGCGAAACGTCCCCAGAGGCGAAGAGCGAGGAGAAACGGCTGTTTTCGCAGGCTAAGCGGCCACCGGCAACCCCCTATTTATCGGCCAGTAATCAAAGTCCCGAAATAATTGTAGAAAAGAATGGGAACTTAAACCTCTATTAAGCGGCCATCGGTTGATACTTTAAGTTTGGCTTTATTCCAAGAATATGATGAAGGAAAATACCGTCCGAGAAAGAAGACGACGACCGGGGACGTTTAGAGATCTTACGAAACCGCGCGAAACGTCCAAAATGACCAAATTTTGAATTGACTTGAGAACGGGAACGGCAAGGCGATAAATTTTACTATCTCTCTTTGAACTGAAATAAGACGCGGTTCCCTCTCTTCAGTTCCAACCTAACTTGCTTAGTACTTTCATTTAACCGGTTGACTTGGTATAAAGGCGACGCGAAGTCTATTTTTCAGCGACGTTTTCATTGTCGTCGCGTCGTGGGATCGTAAGGTCCCTATTACGTCTGCGACGATGTCTAGCTGTTACACGGTCATTCATGAATTCTAAGGTTTATGTTTTTATTGAATAAAGCTTCCAGCGAAGAGGATGAAGACGAGGTTACCAGCCCTTCGGAAGAGGTGAAGCCGTTTGGAGAAGACGAAAACAAACCCTCGGGAGAGGAGGGTGAGGAGGTAGTTGGACGATACTTCGAAAGTCTTGGTACCAGCTCCCCAGGGGTAAAAACGGAAGAGGAAGCAACTGAACCCCCGCCTCTGGACACAGAGAAACTAATGAGGACCAGATTGAGTATCTCGGCTAGATTTCTGTCAAGATCACACCAACCTGGACGGTATGAAGTCATTTCTTACCATGTTTTAAAAGAGATATTTTTATATAAACATTAATGAAAAAAACCAGATGAGCTGTAGCGCGAGAACATGATATCTTCCTACGTGAAAATATGAAAAGATCAATGTTGCTATGGTAACATAATAAATCGTGCCTTTGGCCAGAAAAAAATAAATTGAAAAGGTCTGGTTTGTCATTGGGGTCGATATGTAAATAGACAGAACTTGCATGCTCGCTTAGAGAGTTTCGTATCTCCGCGCGGCCATATAGTATCCTCTTTATTTTAGCCATATAATGGTAAATCCTTTATTTACCATGCGTATTCGGTCAAGATGGCTGAATTTTAACTTCGTTCTTTTTTGCGTCATGGAAAAACGCATAGAAGCAGAAATTGACCAATAATATTCAACCATCCTGATGTCACGATTGAACAATAACCTATATGTACTACTTTCTTGTAATTTATTGTAAAAGCTCTTGAAGCAAATATTCTCACACACTTTTCCTACACATAGGCCTGGCTTGTTGGCAACAAATACAGACGAAGAGAAAAACCACCACTTTGATGATGTATGTATTTCATTTTGGAGTTGAGACTCTTCCTTCTTTGACTCTTTTGCTTTGTTTTGTAAGAATTTTATTTTGGCTTGCAGGGTATTTCAGTTTAAGCTCACTTTGTCTAACCTCGCCATTTAATTCCACCTCTTTGTTTCAGTCGAAACAAGATTTTCAAAGACGCAAGGAGGAGATGGCGCTTGCTGTAGAAGCCACTCGCAAGCGACTGGAAGCTGTAAGTACTTTAACTTTCTTACAGAACGTAGGTAAAGGAAGGAAAAACTGTCGCATAAAACCCCGAGACATGAAAATAGAGCGGTATTTATTAGCGAAAATCAAACTGAACGCGATTGAAGAGAAATCTGTTTCCTACTATGACTTCATAACGCTGCTTACATACGTACTTTATTGTAACTCCCTAAGGCCCCGTTCAAACGTATCCGGATATTTTTGAATCCGTAACGTTTTCTTTGCGGATTCAAAAATTTTCTCCTCCACATGTAGTGTATTCAAATCGAATTTGCCCGTCTACACGTATCCGGATTCACTCTCATTTCGTCGGCTAATTTGTAAAGCAATGTTCGGCTCATGCCAATTTGTTTTCGTCATTCTCCAATAACTGTTTCGCTGACAAAATTGTCCCACTTAGTATTAGTTCGCTCGATTAATTGAGCAATTAATGAATGAGGCTTAGTAGGATATGAAGAATTGAGCAGATCGAGGAGAGTGTTAGGCCTCGGTGGATAACGCCCTCCGAGATCTGATTAATTCTTCATATCCTACGATAGCCGAATTCATTAATTGCTTTATTATTCATTCAAAATAATTCCCAGTTTAAAAACGTAGCTAAAACATGCTTACCTGCATCGATGTTAAGTTCATCTTCCATAGTGTACGTTTAGGTTTGTCCATATTTGGAATGAATAATAACAAGGTTTATGGCGTCTAATTCGTCCGTCCTTCATGGAAAGAAGCCTCAGAATGCCCGCACGGTTTGGAATAATTGAAGTGTACGGTAATCATAACTAAGTTTAACTGCACTCACGTTTAAGACTTGAAACTGAAGTCCAAGAAGTAAAGAAACGGAATTGCACTCGGCACCATCTTGAATAATCACGGTAGCGAACTCGGTTCGATCTTGTTACGTCACCGGATAACAAAAATATCCGGATTTAGCGTCCACACGATGACCTAAAAGGGCTTTTTAGTTACAAGACAAATAAGCAAATAAATTTAAATAAATTTAAAAAGGAGGAAATAACAGTAATATTGAAAAAATTATTACAAAATCAAAGTAATGCATCGGATAGGATTGGCTCACTGGTGATTTGCAGATTTACTGTCTGTGAGAAAATTAGTGTGGCGCGTAAAGGGAGCATCATAAAAAGCGCCAACAGATTACGATGTTTAGTAACCTTTAGTGAAACGTAAGGTTGGATAGTAAAATAGATAAATGTTATTTTACAGCTGGGATGGAAAGCAAAGGAAGATATCCTGAAGAAAATGCCGACAAGTGCAGTTAGCACATCGAGCGTGATCTCCAGCACAGCAAGCGTCACATCAACAGCAGCACATCTGACCACCGTATCAACTACTCCTACTACTGCCGCTGGTACTGTCACTAGTGTTGGTACAGCAGCCGCGAATACACCAGTTTCTAGCTTAACGGACTCAAGCAGCAAGCCATCAGTCATTACAAACTTGCTGGAGGTATTGGATATTACATTTATAGTTTGTTTTGTGAGGTGCTTTAAGGGACTTGTCAGAAATTAGCAGGGGGGGGGGGAGGGGGGGTGGGAATTTGAAATTTGGGTTTGGAAATGAGGTGACCCATCCCTGCAATGGGAGTGAAATTTGCTAACCCTCCCCTTGAGCGTGGCCTAAAATATCATGACCCTCCCCCTCTTGTATAAATGATAAAATCTAGTTCTTGCAGTCTCTATTATGAAAACTCAAAATATATTTCTAAATAAATCTGTTCTTTGTGATGCTATATACATACATTTTAGATGACAGCATTAAGAATCCGACTCTGATTCTGACAGCGGATCACTTGACTCTCCTATTTCTCCCAGGTTTTTACCAAATACAGAACTTCCTTTTTCTTCTGTGGGTGAACCTCAAAATGATCACGAGCATATATTTGCATGACCCTCCCCCTTTTAACAGCCCATTTTTCATGACCCCTCCCTTTTCTGAGTCTCAAAAAGTTGTGACCCTCCCTCTGTTTCCACCCCCCCTCCCCCCTGCTAATTTCTGACAAGTGCCTAAGTAGGAATCGAGAGTAATTTCGCGTTTGTTGTCATTGGCTCAGAAAACTCGCGCCACTTTTTCAGCCAATCAAAAGGAAACTAGGCCACAGTCGGTCGCGTTTTCCCGCACTTTTCAACGGCTCGAGTTTTGATTGCCTAAAGTAATGAATTTAGTTGTTAGCTTCCAAGTAAACACCTTGCGAGTCTTTTTGCAATGGATCAATATTAAATCCCTCGACCTGTTCTTAACAAACAGGGATACTTGCTAGATACAAACGATAGAGCCTCTAAATCTTTTATTTAGTACACTTGGCTATGGTATGAGAATTAATGTGATCAACATGTCACGAGCATGGGACAAACAAAAAAATCTGAGTCCCCTACAGGAATTGAACCTATGGCCTTCCGTAACACCGGCTATGATATTTCTACGTCCAGGAGACTTGAAAGAGAACCGCGTCTGCGAAAAGGCGCCAGCTAGGGTTCAACATAAATCAAAATCTCGCTGTCTGAAACTTTGTCTGTAGAAACTGTGAACGCGTAGTGAATGCTCTCCGCTATGTGGCCTTATTTTGCAATCAATGCGAAAACTTACTGTACGATTATTGTAGAGTGCTAGTTGCATCTGGATAACAAAGAAGGACGATCTTTTGTGCGAGCGGCAAATGAAAACCTAGCCGAGTTTCGGCTTCTTCAATTCACTGTTGCGTGTCAAAATCCCTTTCCAGTTTTATGTAAGCTTGGTCTTAAGTATCAAAATCATTTTTATATTTCTTGGAACAGTAATTTGTTGAGATTATTGAATGGGATAATTTTATCAGGTGTCCACCCGTCCCTGTCTATTTCAGCTCCACTACGTAGTACAACATGAATCAGACAAACCATAAGGTTTATTTTGGCTGTTTCGGCTGAGCACAGCAGAAAGAACAATACGTTATGGCCATCCTCTCATTTTTTTTTCTCCGTTTAGCGTCGTCCTACCGACCCAAATTTTTGGCATTTTCAAAAAAAAAAAAGAATGACGTAGTTAAACCATTTTTCACTGGAAATAATTCTTTTAATCTGAAAAATGAGCATAGTACCAGCAAAGAGAAAAACAGGAACTTTTTTTTACAGTATATTGTGCATTTTTTGTTAATTCAAATATGTGAATGTTAACTTTTGGGGTGGGGTACCAGAGCCTCCTATTCCGAGGCTTCTTGTGATTTTTTGTTTAGGTTTTTTTTTTCCAATCCGACCGACCGACCCAACATGAAGAAACGCATTCGATGCTAAACAAAAAAAAGGGGGGATGGCCTATACCACTACGAGGTGTAGGGCTAGAATGCTTTCCCTAGTGATAAGCATACCTTTTATAGCACTACCTTCTACCCTTTCTGCGCTTCAACTGAAACCGTCCCAGTCCCCACTGCTCCCGTGCCGCCGAAATGTTTCATTTCCGGCTAATTCGTATCCACTAAAACGCCGGAATTTCCATTTTTTGTCCTTTACAGACTCGGTTAACCGAGGTCAAAGACACGAAATACGCGGATAAGGAACATTCTGGGAAGAAGGAGATGACTGGAGCGAAGAAGGGTATTGAAACAAAGGAAGAGGACTCGGATAAATCCAAACGTTCGACGTCACATCTAATCGCCTTCTTTTCTAAGAACAAAGATAAGGATAAAGAAAACACAAAGGAAAAAGACAAAGACAAATCCAAATCAAAGGATAAAGAAAAAGGGAGATCTACACCTCCCCCGGGAAAACAAACATCCGAGGGAAAATCCACGGGGGGTAAACTTGAGCGAAAGGGTTCTACTGGTAGTACAGCGTCACCGAAAGCCGAGGGGAAATCTTGGCGAAAGTCACTTGGGATTCTCGGTGGAGGCTCTAAACATGATAAGGAAGAGAAACATAAAAAGAACTCCGATCATCGAGCTTCTTATCCCGGGGATATGTCCGGGAAAAATCCTCAGGTGATAACGAGTAAGCAAGAGGGCAGCGCTGTTAAGACAGTGAAAGATAATAAAGAGGAAAAAGCGAAAAGGAAGCATCCGGAGCGACGAAGTTCAAATCCAATGGCAGAAGTACTGTTAAAAGATTCCCAAGTCGTAGACAAGCTAGACAACAATGCTTTAGAAACAGTTCCAGAAAACAAGGATGAAAAATCCAGAAAGAGACATCCTGAGCGAAGGACCTCGAGTCCCACAACGGAGCTACAGAAAATTGGAAAAGATGACAAGGATGAGCAATCGAACAGAAAACAACCGGAGCGGCGTTCGTCTAATCCGTCTGCGGACTCGCAAACGAAGAACTCCTATGTGAGACCTGTTAAACACGATGAAGCTGCATTGAATACCGTGAAAGAGGAGAAGACCTCAGACAAGACACAACCTAATCATCAAACACGTGCTAAAACAAATACTAGTGTTTCTTCGGAAAAGGCGATCAAGTTGCGCGAGAAAAAGGGACGCGTAACTTCAGAGGAAAGGCGTGAAAAAGCCAAGTCCTTGGGAGATTTAAGCAGCAACCTTCACAAAGTTGAGGTATCTATTTTAGATCCTACGGTTCCTCCTTCCAGAACTGTTGACACCATGGATATTCCAAATCAATTGGGGAATTCTTCTAAGAGGCCAATGTCGAGTAACGCTATTTTAGAAACGCCACCTCTTGCTTCGAAGAGAAGGGAGAATAAGGACAGAAACGCATTCGAGGACAGTGAAGATGTTAAAGGTGATACTAAAACATTGAAAGAATCCAGCACAGTAGCTGAAGTTTTGTTAAATGGCGGTTCAGCTGAACATAAAATAACCTTGGATCAAACGTTTGTGCTTTCGTCTAAAGTTTCTGGTAATGAAGGGGTTGCAGTTCAAGAAACTTCTCTCGAAAAGAAAGCAATAGGATCTGATCTAAATACTAGTAAAGCCACATCTCCTGTCAAATACGCGAGGAATGGGACTGGGTCGAGTTTCATGACTGACATTAGCGAACTGTCGGCTGAACTTTCAGCTGCTATTGCGTCACCACCGCCTCAGCCAATCAGATTAAGCATGTCTGAGACAAATCTGTTGAGTACCAGTCCTCCCACGGGTAACAGACGGTCCCCTGTTGGCAAGGATCACGGTACGTAATTATGACGCAATGCTATCTGATTTTTTCCAATCTTCCATCTCTTTCAAGCAGTTTCAATAGGCCTTTACTGATTTGCCCCAAGCTTCTGTTTCAAAGCGAAGCTAATTGCGAGCCTGTTGATTAGCTTATAAAACTGTTCAATTTAAAAGTAGTGTTATATCTCCTGCTTGGGCTACGCGCTACTAGCTGATGGGCAGAATACTTCAGGAAATGTGTAAAGCAAAGCTACAGCGTTTTACTTTATTGTTTTGTGTAAGTTTAGAAGTTTGGGGCAAAATAGCAAACGATAAATGTGAAACTTTTCTGAGAGTTTTTGCTCTTTATTTAGGGAAGAGCGGTTATCAGAGCAAATACGGTATTATCTTAACACTGAAATAGATGGACTGTGTTGAAGCTCTTGGCAGGAGGCTGCATACGTATGGTACAATCTGCACAGAAATAGATGGTTTTGCCATAAGAGTCACACCCTGAAGCCTAAATAAATATCTTATCATCCACTTCCCTCAGAGCTCATGGCGCACTTTACAATTATTAATGAAGTAATGACTTATGAATGCCCCCAATGTTAATCAGTGGACAGGCGTCGAAAGGGGAAATGGGAAAGGATGTAGAAGGAAGTAGGGAGGAAAAGCGCGATTTTTTCCCCTCCCCTCCCCTTTTTTGTGCTTGCTACACAGGCTAATAGACACTATGGGGTGGACACCGCCAGAAATTTGCTCCGTCCCTAGTGGTTCTTTTCACGTCCTACAGAGTCAAGTAAGGTGAAGGTGCATGAGACGTGGCCCTCGGTCAGGTGATTGTTCGTTTATTTATTATTATTTTTTTTGTCAGATTCCGCCGGTGCATCGGTCGTCGATCAAGATGAGTGTCAGAAAGCCCTAGACAACTTGTTAAATTCTTTTCAAGATGTCATAGATTTGCAGGCTAAGGTGGGGTTGATTTTCCTGGTTATGCTGTGCAATTAACAAAAGTGAAAACAACAAACTCAAACAAAGCCTAAAGGTTTTAGTCAGGTGCCTCGCTGCTTTACCAAGGTCTCACAGGATTAGTTGGGAAAATAATGAACGAACAAAGTTAACAACTGAACCTAGCCCCAAAGCAAAAGAGCTGTGAAATATAGGGGTCCAGTGAAGTAAAAGGTTTTAAAGAGGAGCGGGGCTATTTTCTTTCATCCGTCATTCTTTAATTTTTAAGGTAGGATGCCGATTTAATTTATCCGTGATTTTTGAACGTACGTACATGTAAGGAAACAGGAAAGTTGACTTGACTTGACTTCTACGCGGCAGATAGGTATGCCGACAAACATAACAAGGGTAGGTGGGTGGGTGGGTCTTGTATTAAAAACCAACATATTTCAGTAGTGGCGGTGGTACTTCAGTGCTAATCAGCGTCGAGTCTGTGACTTAATGTATTCATCTCATAGGTGCTGGACGAGGAACCATCAGACGAAAGCCATCTTCTCTTGTCGAACATTTCAAGCACGTTTTCAGTGATAGAGGAGCGAATTCACGAAGCACGTCTTCGAAGACGAAAGTGGGAACTCTCCTCCCTCCCCAGGGGAAAACCAGGCTTAGCTTCCAGGCCTCTTAGTGGAGTGTTCAGCATGTCAACTGGCAACTTAGACCAACTCACTAAGGGACCACCAACCGTTAGGAGATTTTCCGAGTTCTCAGTTTCTTCTATTCCTGAGGTGGACGCTGAAGTGCATGAAGTTTTACTGGAAAAATATTCTGATAGACTATTGGAAATGGTAGCCAAAAAACTTGGCAATTAAGAACCGTTGCGAAGTGGTTGCGCCGGGTTTTCCTCCTCGGCGCAGTTTGCTAGGAAAAGTTGATACTGGCAGTGCAGCCAGAAATGTTCAGATTGGTTTCAGTACAATTCAAACAAGTTCTTTACTAAACCTGCGACTGCTGTCTTGTTACACTACCTTGAAGAATGCATAGCCTTGAATTGAGCGAGCTTGAAGCCGGTTAAACACAGAGCTTTTGCTACGATCGGAACTTTTGAACATTGTTTTAACGCAATAACCCCTACACTGTTATTATCACGAAGGTGACTAATCTCGTCGAGGGTGCTTGTATTGTTGCATGATTGAAAAATTAAACGTGCTGGTTTCAGTGTCTTTTTCTGGTCTTCCATTTCACTTGAAAACAATTGAAATCGACCAACGCGGCTTCTCCTCACTTTTTTTTACAATTTCTGTTTTTGCCAAAAAATACGTTTTTGTACATGCATAGCACATTTGGTTGGTGATTTTGTCGCGCAGGTAAAGAGGTAATCGAACTCTTTGTCGCCGAAAATATTTTTTCTACAACAAGAATCATAAGGTAGATTGCCCATACCGAAGCCTTTGGGGCAACCTACTCCACTAGAATTTCTAGAGTGTCTTTGATTATTTGAGTGCACCTTCTTCTTCTTTAGAGTTAAGTTATGTCCATATTTATAAGAAAACAACTATAGCAAAAATGGCTGTAAATAAATAAATATTCTGACTACTTTTCGAATGGATTTGTTTTTGAGGGTTCGAATAAACCATTTTCAAGTTGCCTCAAGCCTCTTATTCAAAGCGAGGCTAAGTGCGAAGCCATTGATGATTTTTTAACCTTATGCAAATAAAACTCGTTTTCACAACGAAGGTTTTGCACTAAGCCTCGTTTTGAAAGTGAGAGTTTTTGGAACTCGGAATTGGCCTATTCATACACAGAAGCAATCAAGTTCCCGTTGTGGTTGAATTTTATGCCTAAGGCCCAGTCCCAAATGAACCACAGCGTACCCAACATGTACCAGTCTACAGTTGTTCAACGTTTTCAACACAACCAGATTTCATTGCTTTTAACAACGACTGGAACCACGCCCAGGCTGCAATAAGTCTTTCAATGAACCTTGTCGAGTCAGGATCCTTACGGGTCATGGAAAACCTGGAAAGTCATGTAATCTAAGAATTTCATTTTCCAGGTCTGGAAAATCATGGGATTTGTTTGTCGGTCATGAAAACTCAGCAATTTAAAGTTATTTTTGTTGGATCATGATTAGATTAATCATTAGATTAATCAGATGTCAATGATTAACCCGAGTCAGATTAATCAGGTGGTAAAAAAAATGACAATCGTAAACGGCTCGCGAATAGGGTCAATAGGCCGGTTTCGAATTGCTAAAATTCATGGCTGAGGGGTATAAATCAAGAGAAATTGCAAGCATTGAAATCTAGAAATGAATAATTCATTTCTTTTGTGTTATTCCCCTCAGTCTCAGAGCCAAGTATGAATTTTGATAATTCGAAACTAGCCTATTGACAGAAACCAAAGGTTGTGTCTTTGAACTAAGTTTATATGTCACAAAACACCGTAAAGCAAGGCGGGTCAAAGGTTACAGAATTTTCAAGACCACGTGTGGGTGTTTTACTTTGTCGTAAGCAGAAGATTCTCCACTCCCTTACCTCACCCAATTCGCGCTGGCCTCGCAGCAATGGTGGTTACAGTTTCCATGGATAATGCAGTTTCTATAATTGGAACTAAACAACCAATCAGGATAGTTCTGTTTTTTCCCCGCATTTTTTGCTCTGTTCCAGTCCTTGTCGGAAACGGGATTGAGTCACGACTGTCACACTACTCTTTGATAAGATGGCAGAGGGAGGTATTCCGAATAAACGATTTCGAGACAAGCCTCATAGCTCTCTATCTTGCTTCGCAATGCGCCTAAAACCTGGGCAGGAAATAAGAGAATGCCTTCTTAGTTACGTAAAGGAAAACAATCTGAAGGCCCCTTTCGTTCTTTCGTGCGTGGGAAGCGTGACTAGTGCTACTCTTCGACTTGCCAATGTTTCTAAAGACACCCCGAACGAGGTGAGTTAATATTCATCATTGTCCGAGAAAGAAGCAACAGAGCACTCTTATGTAAACTTCTTTCACGAAATGAGCTGAAATGCTACTCTTTCTCATCGAACTTGGTGTGAATGCAGGGCAGTCTCTGCACAAAGAGTGCGTGTTGGAAAACTTAGAAAATGCCGGTAGAAATCGGTAGTTGTGAAAAAGTCCAGAAAAAAACTAGGTATATGAAAGGGACTACCATTTGTCAGTAGAAGGTATACGAAAGGTTAAGTCGTTTGACTTCCGGGCAGAGCCTCCCCATATAAAACTTTGTCCAGTAGACCCCACCCCCCCCCCCTCCTCCCACCACCACCACCACCTCCACCGGCTCTGTGGAAATCTACCCCACCTCCCCACGTGTTTGGATCTGACTGCCATCAAAAGCAAAATCTATTTTGTATGTTGAAATTGCCAGTAACTTAAGCCAATGCTTTAGCTTTTTACTCCATCCCCCAGCTCCATACCAGTATTTTTTTTCCCCTGGTTCTGTAATATGAGCCAATTGTAATAGAGAAACATTAAAACTTTTTTTGCAATTGATTTTGTCTTAACCAGATAATTGAAGTAGAAGGAAGACATGAGATTGTCTCACTTGTTGGAACTCTAGCAGATGAAGGACATCTTCATGCTGCTCTCTCAGATAAAGATGGACATGTTGTTGGTGGCCATGTTATGGGAAACATGAAAGTTTTCACCACTGCCGAAGTTGTCATTGGAAACTGTGACATGCTTTCCTTTACCAGAGAAATTGATGAAGAGACTGGCTTTGATGAACTGGTGGTAAAAGAAAAGGTCTGAGACCTGGCTTAAAAGTTTAACCATAAAATAGATGCATATGAATTTTTGACAGTTAATTTTTCTATGCTTGCTTTTAAAATTTTTCTGTTTTGATGTCTAAACACCCACACCTCATTCCTGATTTTCATACCATGACACAGGGCTGTCTCTAAGATATCAAGTTGCTAGGTATATGCTACCACTGTTTAACCCATTATGCCCTAAGAGTGATCAGCATGAAATTTCTCCTTATAAATGCTTTAGAAAACAGAGTGGGCTTGAGAACAAAGTACATGATCAGGGAAGATGAGTCTAATTGATATTTCAACAAATTCTCCCAACTACTTCTATTGAAAAAGTATAGGGATGGTAAATGAGAATCTCAATTTTGATATTACGGTTGAAAGGGTTAAGGAAGCTAGGAAGTTCGTTTGGCCCTATTTTCTATTTGTTTCCTATGAAAGTAGACGGGGCTCGTGGCCTTAGTTGCTGGGGAACATGTCTGGCCCTTGGTCTTTAGTGGCATAAATTCCTCATTACACATTAGTATCATCAATTTAGTCTAAAGAGGCTGTGTGATAGCAGTTTACTCCAGTTTGTTTACTCTTGCCTTATAACTCATTTAATTTCTGTGTTACTCAAATATCCTGACACTTTTTTAAGTGGTTATTTTAAATTTAACTCAGTTCCTTATACCCAACCCATTGATTGCATTTTCATATCTCCCCAGTCTTTCTCTGCTTTTAAGATCAAAGATGGTGACTACATGAATTCAAAGGAATAGTGATTGATTGCTTGCTCTAAAAAGCATACTCCAAGAGAAGGCTTTTGAGGAAAATTAAAGTTGTTTTAACCTAAATTTTGTACTTTCTAATGCTTTAAGTACTGATGAGGTGCATTTGAGAAATAATAAGAACAGATATGAACTACATAGACCTCATGCTGGCCTGCTTTTACATCAAATAGTAACAAAATTGTCTACCTCACTGCTTGAAACAATGCTGCTTTTTTTACCGACTGTTTTCTTTCTTTTTACCATTTCTCAGTCATGATGTAGCAGTTTCCAGAAGAGGTTTATTGACTAAATAATGTTTAAACTGTGTCGTAGCAGAAACATTTCATTAAAATTTGATGGAATTTGTAACCTTTCCTTGTAAGTTTTTTTTAACCTAGATCTAGATCAGTAGTGGTTCTTTGCCTCAGCACATAAATTACTGCTTTACCCCTTGACCTATATAGACCATGTACATTATTGTTTTCATACAACTGACCATCAGGATCCCAGAGGGGTGGGGGGTTGGTTTGGGTTTTTTTTTTTGCTGGGTATGTGCCTCTGGCCTCTCAGAACCCCTACCCCATTAGTCTCTTCTGTGGCCATATTATAGACCACGTCATAATCACTTTGGGAAAAAAGTAATTTTCACAATCCCAACTTAGTCACTTTCTGTTTATGCACTAAGCCATCATGAAATGAACTAACACATTTGCTAAACTTAATGTGTTGAAGAGGTGGATAGCACTATCCACTTGATAAATCTCTATCAAGTGGATAATGCAATATTTATTGTTTACCCTTGTTGGTATCCGCTGGATAGTGATTTATCCAGTAGATAGCGCTATCTAACGTTTAAAAACCAGGGCCTGGTGGATCACACTAATCTCCTTTTAAACAACTAGGGCAAAACAATATTGTATTTGAAGGCTCTTCGCAATGTAGCCATCCTCACACGGAAAAAATAAAAGATTCCCATTTTTGGATATTTTAGGGTATTTAAAGAATACCCACAAAAATCCCAAATTTGGAAGAGTGAGACAAGTCCCAACCTGTCGTGAGGGAACTTGGTTGGGAATTCCCTGGTTGAGACTTGTCTCACTTTGCCAAATTTGGGATTTTTGTGGATATTCTTAAAATACCGTACAAATTCCGAAAATAAGCCCCTCCATATATAAGCCCCTCCAAATATAAGCCCCCCAAACCGGTAACACAAAAAACCCTCCATTAAATCGCCCCTCCAAATATAAGCCCCAGGAGGCTTGTAGTTGGAAAATTGCCTTCAAATACAAAGTAAAACAAAGCCAAAACGGTAAATTTACTTCCAACTATAAGGCTAGCCCAATCGATTTTGAAACGCAAATTTCCCTCCGTAGATAAGCCCCTCCGCATATAAGCCCCTCCAAAAATAAGCCCCTCAAAAAGGGACTTTGAAAAATATAAGCCCCAGGGCTTATTTTCGGAATTTTATGGTACCCTAAAATATCCAATATTGGGAATCTGTTAGTTTTTCCTGTGTCATGTTCCAATGTCAACACCTTTCTGTCAACATGCCTCTCGCCCCTTCCCTGCCGCCTCCCAAAGTAGTACACGACAGTCACCCGACAGGCCAGGATTTATAATAGGATCAGGATTTTAGGAAGGAATGTTTTACTCCATGTGACCTGATTCAAACCTATGATACACCTCATAAAGCAAGCAAACAGTTTTTTTAAAAAAATAAAAATGTTATTTTGAAGCTCAAATACAAATAGTCCGCGAGTCAAAACATTTCCTTTAAAAACTCTTTTTTGGGGATTACAAAGTATCTTCCCAGGTTTGATTTTCTCCAGTGAAAGTCATGAGTTATGGCATTCAAGATGAATCACAAGTTCACTCATCGTTTGAATTTGCAATCGACTCAGCGGCGGTTTCGATGAAGTTGGCCAGTTGGACATCGTTATCAGATAAACCACTGCAGTCGTGTGTACTCAGGGTGATCTGTACTTTGTTGTACACGTTAAACCACTCGGGGTGATGATCCATCTTTTCTGCTTTCAATGCCACACGTGTCATGAATCCAAATGCCTGGTTGAAATCCTTGAACAAAAATTCCTTCTGAATGGCGTCTCTACCCTCCACTTCAGCCCATCCAGCTTTTCGTAATGAGGGAAGACTTGTGTTCCTTTCTTCTTCGTCGAGTTTCTGTCGTTTAGGAGCTGACATGACTTAGTTTCTTGAGTTCTGCACAAAAAAGTACAAAGACGCTCTGAAATAATGGCGATGGATTATGATTTTAGCGCCTTTTCCACTAATCGGAAAGATTCAGGGAGGGGAGGCTTGTTTTCTTTACTTTGCGTTTTTTGATCATAAATCATGAAAAGTCGAAAAGGTATAGCTTAAATCATTGTTTGAACAATAAAAAATGGTAACAGTGAACAAATTATTTCGCAAAAAAGGTAAATTGCCACTCTTCCGCCAAAACGAAATACTTTCTTCACCCCCGACAAAAAAAAATTGTATTCTCTGAGATAATTTTCCCATGTGACATCTACACTAGCCAATCACGTGAAGAGCAGGCAGAGTTTTCCCGCCAAATTTTATCCTTCCCGGGAAGAAGCAAGCCGCGAACGATCGATCAGTTGATGAAAACTTTGTAAAAATGTCTGGATTTGATGAACGCCCGGTATACTTCAGCGATGCATTTGGCTCTGAAGAGCAAACAGATGAACGAGAAGTCAACAGAATCAGCGCAAGGAAGAGATTCAGGGAATTCATTCGCGAATTTCATGAGGGAACCTTCAGCTATCCGTACCGGTAAACAAAATGGCGCTTGCCTAAACAGCGTGGATCTTTTGCTCGTCTAGAAAACAAGCCTCGATCATTGCATTGTACCTTCGTTTGTATAATCGTTTGAGCTAAACTTATTCCGTTTGATTGACAAAAATCGCTCGGGAAATTTCTAAATTATGTGCTTAAAGTCACATAATATAGAACTGTTAATTTGGACGAGGATGCAAACATGTGCTCTTGAAAATATTACTGTGGCTGATCGTTGAAAAAACGTAGGTTCTTTTGGCATTTAAGTTTTCGATCGAATGAGGGAAAATATCTAATAGAGGAGAGGATTTGGTGTTTTTTGGAAATCTTTGACAAAGATCTGTGGTGAACAACAAAGTGAGATGTTTGTAAGCTTGCTTAGGCATGAGTTTTTACTCGATCCGTGTTTCTTATTCTAGCGATCAACTCAAAAGGCATTACAATCTTGGCCAGTATTACCTTGAAGTAGATCTGCAGGATTTGACCAGCTATGACGAACAACTTGCTGATAAACTTACAAAGAGTCCAGCAGAATTCCTTCCTCTGGTAAGTTTTGCACGTTAAAATCTAACAGTGCCATTGAGTTGAAACTGAGCCAATGTTTCCTGTCATCGTGACTTGAATTTAGATTTAGAACACTGTCTTAAACCACACTGGCCTGGTAGAAGTGGGCTCCAATTCAAGTTGTTGCTTGGAGGTCTGTTGTTGCTTTCCTAGTGACTGTTTTGTTATGTCACTTGTTTGTGGCTACACACTTGGATCAGCCTTTTATCTTAAACTCCTTAACCCATTCACCCCTGAACCGCCCGTAACCGCCCGTGCGAATCCAGGTCCTTTCTACCCTTTGTGACGTCATCAGTTTTAACGGTCAAGGACAACTTTCTTCGCTAACTTGTGCAGAGTGAAGAGATCTTTCAAACCATACCAGAATGAGCACAATTCAGTAAAAAAACCACGTGACAAGGACCTGAAAATCTCCATGAAAATCTTGTTCCATTACCCACCTACCTTTCCTTTTAATCCTAAGATCCTAAAAGCTTTCCTAAAAACTCTTCCCACCAAAATGAAGCCTATTAAATGCCCAGCAAGAGAAAAAAAAATGAAAAATTTTGCTTTACAAACCATAAGCTGATATTTTGCATCTGGATCATTTGTAAAGGGTTTGTGGTAAGTTTTAGCTCTTTATAGCACGACAGTGACCAGAAAACCACTCGACTAGCTTCAAAAGGCGTTTTTCGGCAAAATCTCCAGGAGCGAATGGGTTAACATCATATTTTTTTTCCAGCGTTGTAAAAAAAATAATGAAAAATAATACAAATTTTGACATTTGAAGAGTGGGCGATATTAAACTGAGAATGTGCCACCCGAAAAGGAATTGATTTGTGGTATTCATGTTTAAGAAATTTTCCCAGAAGGGGATCCACCCACCCAAAATAACAGAAGCAAGACTGTAATCTAAGAAAAATTCAATTGAGCCCAGTTCTCTGAACCTCTGAAAACCAGGGTGTCCAGCATAGGATTTGTATGAAAAAGCTAACATGGAGCAAAAATTAGGCACCAGGTACCACTGGGCTCAGCCTGAGCATGGACCTGAGAAGTGAAAAATAAATCCCTATAAAATGTGGTATAAAAATATGCCCTGGTTACAGACCAGAGTATTAAACAAAGCCTACATTTGGAAGCATGGGCAGCACAACCCCCTCTCCCCCTCCCCCTCCTTCCACTAATCACTGGGAACAAAGAGCTAGCCTGATGTTATAATTTAACTTCATGTAGTTTGAAGATGCTGCAAAGGAGATGGCAGATGAAGTAACAAAGCCCAGGCCACTGGGAGAAGAAGAGGTTCAAGACATTCAAATAACATTGAAGTCAGATGCTAATCCTATGAGTGTCAGGGAGCTTAGGGCAAGTATATGGTTTTGAATAAACACTGTGTCATGACGTCCAACCTCCATGAGTTAGTGACTTAAACAGATTAGGTACCTTTGTTATTCATATCAATGTTGGTTTGTGTTGCTTCACTGATTTGATTGAATCAGGGAACTTCCAATTTCAACAAGAGTTTGTAAAGAATGCCAAATTTGAAAACTATGCTTTCCTATTGAATCAAATGCCACAGGCAAAATTCTGCATACTACTGAGGAAAAAAGGTAAGGTAACGGCACACACGAGCCAAAGGCCGAAGTGGTCAGAGCTTATCGCGGTTTCCGTAGTGTGAAGCATGCTCAGGAGTATTGCTACTACCCCCTGGACAGGATGCTATTCCATCAGAGGGTTACCCCCAGCAGTATGTCACCGGTACCCATTTATACACCTGGGTGAAGAGGGTCAAAGTGGATTAGAGTTCGTAGTGTATGGAAACAATGCAACAGGCGAGGCTTGAACACCAGACCTCCAGATCCAGAGTTCAAGGTGTTAACCACTAGGTTACACACGTCTCCACTGAGGAAAAAAAATCCTCACAAATTTCCCACTTGATATTGTTTATGACCAAGCTCTTCAATCTATTAAATTATTTGATATCTGTATAACTTTTTATATAAAAATTGTCATTATTTTAGTCTGAACAAATGGCCAAACTTGTAAAGATTCCTGGTATCATAATCAGTGCTTCAGCCATTCGCGCCAAGGCAACCAACATCACCATCCAGTGCCGCTCTTGTCGTAACACAATCTCTAACATTCCTCTCAAGCCTGGTCTGGAAGGATATGCTATGCCACGTAAATGTCCAAGGTAGAGGGTCTTGTAATTTCAATAAAATAGCGTAAGAATAAGCAAGATGCAGAAGGCCAATATGGATGCAATGAGTTACCTGATTTATTTAGTATAAAGTGACAAAAAGTATTAGAAATAAAAAATTAAGGTGGGACGTGTACATGCTTCTTGAACTCTTTGTCTTTTGTAGACCAAATTATTCGACTTTCCGTAGCCTGGCTTGAACTGGTTTTCTGAGAGAGAAATATCAATATTCTAGACCCAGTGCTTCCAAAGAGTACAAATCCTAACTTTTTTGACCCAAATGGTTGAAATATATACCCACCTTTAGATGGTCAGAAACCACACCCTTTGGGGTTCCATGCACCTATATGGCATTATTAATAGGGAGTACCCACCCCCCTCCCCCTCCCCCAATGGGATGTTGGTCAATGATTGCAAAATTTTCACCAGTGGTACAAATTATCATCTTTTTTCATAAAAGTACATAGTGGAGGTTGAGGAGCATTGCATAAGTGGAACACTGAGAGGTTCTTGTTTAAGAAAATAACAAGATCCAGATTGTATGGCCATAGTATGCCAACTGCATGATATTGCACTTGCACATAAAAATAAAAGCAAAAGAATGATTTTGACTGTTAAAAAAGAGTTCATTTTGGGCAAAAGGGAAAGTTTGCACCTTCATTAATGTTGACTAAATTTTTTTTTCAGTGACCAAGCTGGCCGTCCACCCTGTCCTTTGGATCCATTTTACATAATGCCAGATAAATGTAAATGTGTTGATTTCCAAGTGCTAAAACTCCAAGAATCTCCAGATGCTGTGCCTAATGGAGAAATGCCACGACATATGCAGTTGTACTGCGATAGGTAAAATATTGTTCTGCATTGTGTAGTTCCAGAAAATATCCAGACCCCCACCACGGAGGGAATTTCACTTAGGACCCCCCCACCTCTCTGGATTTTCCATTTTTGCAGGGAACTGATGACCCCCCACCCCTTCGGAATTTCCACAAATGTGACAAAGACCCCCCAACCCCTCTGGAAAAGTTCATTTTCACGAAGAAAGACTATTAAAGTAGAAGAATGAGGCAACTTATGGTTAGTACCCAACTGTTTCCATCAGAAGGT